TGATTTCCTTTCCACATTATTGTATCATATGTACAGGATTTTTGATGAAAATATTATTAAAGATTAGAGTAAGAGGGCTGGAATGCATTTAAATATTAGACCATAAGAGCAGCAACAACCAAACATATAGCTCTGGTATTGTACTTGATCTGTAGTCTGTCAGGGCTGCCAACGCTGTGGGAGGGGGGTGGACACTTACAGCTGGTAAAAGAAATATTGTTGCAGTTTAGTTTATTAGAAAATAGCAGGCTGGTTTGCAATCAAGAATTTGGTTTAAGATTATGGAATGTTTGCTCATTTCAAATTATGATTGGATCTTTTTCAATATGTCACTATGGTAAATAAAAGAATGGAGCCAATACTCTTACAAAGAATTTATTTATAAATCCATATCACATGAAATAAATAGAACCTCTTTGTAGCAATGCAAAAGGTTATAACACATGGTACAGCTGTAAACGTATGTAACAAAGTGTGATAAAACAGCCGCTGATTTTGTAAAGAAAAGGAAAGGATTATGAACGCCACACAATTCCAGTGCAATGAACAGATAAAACACGTGCTGTGATACCAGCTGATAAAAGTTTGAGATCCCAAACCAACCAAACCCAGGAGTAACTGGAATTTTCAGATGCCACTATGATGAGAGTTAAGATATCGTAGTGATCAGTTTTAACTTTGTCTCACTGGCTTACACACAACCCCTGGAAGAAATACCATCCATTGTGCAGAGCTGTAGAACAAACCAATCACCATCTTGATTATTCCAGGTTTACAGTCTCCAAAGAACAATCACACGACTGAAGATCGCAGAGGATGGCGCAATGAAAACTTTTCCATTAAATCACTAAGATCACTTTCATGGAATGGCAGCAAATGAAATAAATGTCTGGCCTTTAAAACAAAGGACTGAACCAAGCTTTTATTACAAAACAAATTGCCTAAAATGTCAGTGTTCCCCAAAACTCCAGTACAAACACTCATTGTACACAGGCCCCATCTCTGCTTGGGCTTTCTCAAATATATGATCCTGTAGGCTTAGGTGCAACATGTAACCTACACAGTCAAATAATTATCCAGTCCTATGTCAGTTTAGCACGTAAGTGCAAAGTCTGCTATGTGAGGGGCTAGGTTTTCTAAACAATAAAACTGGAAGGTAAGGGAGTAGTCCTATCATCTTAGACCCATTCACATTTACACAGGTCTTATCTGATGGTCTAACATATCCACACACAGTTCCTCTCCCTAAAGAGCTTCCAAGTCCTGAAAACAAAAATGCTATAAAACGTGATAGTTCTATACACTTTTATGTACTATATACAATACATAAACCTATATAAACATCTTATGCATGTTTCTTTAGCATACTTTATGAGAGATTTCACAATGGCCACTGCAGATTTTCAAAATAAGGCTCCTTTCAGACAGTGATCTGATCGGGTCCAAATGTTAGTTTTTCAGATACTCCATATGTGTCCCCTGTCCGCTAAAAAAAAAAAAACAGTGTAAGCAGGTCCATCCCCCTTCCATAGGCAGATCAGATCGGAGGCCAGTAGTGTGTAAACTAACATTTACTCCCAACTGCCCATAGAGCAGAGTGGGCTGTGTCCATGCCTGCTCTACATAAAATGAGCAGACATGGACATGTCATCCATCTACTCTGCTCAGCAGGGGATCAGTGGACAGATCCCCCTGCTGAGCAATCCAGATTTGGCTCTGTGTGAAAGGAGCCTAAAGGCCCAAAGTATGGTGTAAAAAAAAAAGCACCTGGTACAGCACTCAGATTAGTTCAAATAATTGGCAACAGGTTTTTAGCTGATCAAATCCTTAGCTGACCAGATTGAACCAACTGAACCATGTCTGGTCAGCTTTCGTCATCTAGGTTTTATCCTAGAATACCGATGCAGATATGATTACCATACTAAAATGGCCATCAGGCCCAGATATGATGGTAGTGATAGAAAAATAATAAAAAATACATACAAAAAGCCCAGGTCTGCCGATGTGGATATAAAAAACAACCACTGGGCTTCTGGCCTTTCCTGACAAAATACAGAGAACGGATTTTATTTTTAGACAGATTTTTTTTTTTGGCTGATGAGATAAAAATTCAAGCATTTGCATCAGCACCAAATCAAATACAAAAACTGGGTCTGATTTACAAAGCGTATGAACCAGAGCAGGAATAAATCACTCCTAGATTGTAAGCTCCAAGGAGCAGGGCCCTCTAATCCCTCTTGTATTGAACTGTATTGTTGCTGTATTGTCTCCCTCCATAATGTAAAGCGCTGAGCAAACTGTCGGCGCTATATAAGTCCTGTATAATAATAATAATTACAGTGTTCTTGTATTCTCAGGGCCCCATGCACACTGATGTATCAATGCATAATGTCAGTCCTAGTTGGCCACATGCACTGAACATCTAAATAATGCTGTAAATGTGCCTTCTGCTCCTATAAGGTGTAAAATAAAATGTGCATATCGACATGTTAAGCAAAAAAATGCATATGCAAAGCCCTGTATACTATGTGGTCATAGAAAAAAATGCAAATAGTTTGTCTATGTGCACAGTACAATACAAAACAGTACTCCGTTTACAGTTCTCTGAGTCTTTTACATAGTATGTGTTTTTAATTTTTACAGTCATTTTTAACTTTAGTCCTACATGGCATGTTTATTTAAAACAGACAAACCCCAAAAGATTAGAGAAAATTAAATATTTTATGCAGGACATGGCTTTAAACCAAAAAAAATTGCAGTTTACCAATCCTTAAATGTGGTGGCTGCATTTTTCTCCCTTTATTTTCACCTGATGATCTGGCCAGTAACACATTTCCTATATTATGGCATCTCCACGCCACTGTAGGAGCAACGCAGACACCTTTCGACATTAGCACTGTCAGTCAGGTGATGTTGTAGTGTTAGATGAACTAGCAGCTTTAGATGGACTTCATTAACAAATTAAAGCAGGACTCCAGCTAAGTTTTTTTTTTTTTTTCCTTTTGGGATAAAGGATTTACATTAAAGATGAAGTACAGCCAAATCTTGTTTGGCTGTACTTCTGCGGATCACAGGAGTGCAGTTAGTTCTGCTAAAGCTTGCTGTTGGCTGATATCACAGAACTGGTTCAGGCTGGGGAAAGATCGCGACCATACGGTCAGGATCCACCCAGGAGACAAGCCTGAGCTAGTCGCTCTTGCCCTCTCCACAACCCAGCATTCCAGTAAGCGTGGGGCAGAGTAGACAGCGGTGACCGTCAGTCAAAGCTCTCTGCTCAGAGCGTCAGGGATAACTGACCGATCAGTTTTCACCCTTAGTCAGGGGGGGGACAGATGCAGCAGCAGATGCTGTATCCACCTAGTTAAGTATGATAAAAAAAAATAAAAAAAATACTTCTCTTTTAAAGCTGATAACTGTAAGCACTATTGTCAGAGTTAAGTGGTCTGTTTCAGCAATCTAACAGCCGCTTTTGCTGAACAGCTTTGTCTGTTGAAAAATACCAGATTTACTGGTAAGATTACAAGGTGAAAGTCAGAGAAAATAGTTTAAAAAAGAAAACTAATGCAGTCTCCACATTTAAACTGCAATATATCAAATTTCTGCTTGGATACTGGAGTGTAATTCCATACTAAACACCATAATAAATTCAATCTATATACACTCTGGCATGTGCGCACCTATGTATATTACAATTCTGTGAGCATACCATATGCTTTTTCAGCATTACAGCTGTGCCGCCAAAGGCACATATACTTTAAAAAGATTCAGAAGCTCAATACAAACACAGTGGGTCTGATTTACTAAGGAAAAAGAACTGTTATATGTTATATAGCATTTGTAATAGGAGACCTGCTCTTGCATGACTAGGGTGCAGCCATCTATATGGTGCAATCTTGTATAGTCAAACAGATGTCTTCTATAATGATTTCTATCTTGACCACAGAGGTGAACATGCACCTCTACATACACCCCCAGCTGTTTTACTGCTCCAGGACTGGTGGATATCTCAGTCATGACACAAAAGTGATCAAATATTACAGGATATCATCAAATAATGATAAATTATTATAGGATCTTGAAAAGTGGTTTGAGAACAACTTCAGCACCTGGCCTAGAATGGGTGGTTGAGGTCCACAGTGGCAACTGATTCAATGGTAGCTTTGGGTTTCCTAAAATACTACATCCAGGCATCAAAAGGTGGTTTGAGCAAATTACAGCACTTGTAAATCATCTTCATTGCAGAAGGCCTCATTATGATTTTGCTCTCAACCTATATTTAAGACAACGAGAATAATGAGTCTGAACAAGGAAAACAACAGCAACCCACAGGGACAGCTTATTTGGCTGACCGGTTTAAAAGCCAATGAAAACTCTCCTTACAACGCACACAAGTTACAAGAAAACACAGACATTCTGTTTTGATATTGCTTCCTTGATATGTTGCATTCTCTTTTAAAATTAAAAGTGATTGGTGTTTGATCGGTGTCTATGGTTGGCAAACAAGTACGCCTGCTCAGAGCACATGGTTGAGGTGCTTCCCTGAACAGGTCACTGACACTTAGCATTGTTCTAAAGAGAATTCATAAAAATTACAATTTTCAACTGTTTTGTTTTTAAAATCAATCCAAAAATGTAAAAATCTTTGAGCTAAGAGTACTTTCTCCCCCCAACTAAAACTGCTACATATGATGCAAAATATTATACTAGATTTGCAACATTCTAGGAAAGCATTTTGCCCTGTCTTAATGTTCATATTGCAGAAGAGGGAGTATTTAAAAACTCCTTCAAAAAAATGAAAAAAAAAAAAAAAAGGACTGAAGACTGTACATTTGCAAACATGACAGATACTGATTCTATTGGCCTTTCTTTGGGAGGCTCAGTGAGAGAAATTATAGAAGGCCAAAAGGCCATGACAACAAAGCGAACCACATTCAGATCTGCCATGCATTTCAATGCACGTGAACCCTGAACATTTTTGTCCTGAAATTGGGCCTTCTGTGTTAGAGTTCGTTGCAGAGTACATCATGGTTGATGGCGGTGTGGTTTATCTGTCCGGTGCTACAGTCTTCCTCATTTGCAGATAACATAAAGGCAGGTGTAAATGGGAAAAGTTTATGGCAGGCTGCCCGGTATTCCTCATACTGAGTATTACAGCTTCCAAAACTGCCATCAAGCAGGGCCTCCAAGACCTTTGTCAGACTCTGTACAAGAAGAATGGTAAAAATAAGTAAAGATGAAGGTGTTTTGTCAGTTTTACTTAGAACAGCAATATATAAAATACTGTCAAATCAATACTCATGTGATTAAAAAAAAAAAAAAAAAAAAAGAGAAGTGTGTGTGTGTATATACATAGATAGATAGATACATACACACACACATAAATATATATATATATATATATATACACACACACAAGTATATATATTATATATACATACACACACAAGTATATTATATATACATACACGCACATACAATACAGTACTACTTTACAGCTTTGTACTCTGTAATAGCTGTATGTACATTGAGCAGCATGTAAATAAGCAATCTACATAAGGCCTATGTTGGTTATACTTATATATGCAACTGTGACAACATAGTAGGTTTTTCCCTTTTGAATGGACTAGTGCAGGGTTCAACCCTTTTCGACTAAAAGTAGAATTCTCTGTTTCAAGTACTTCCATTAGTAAATGATGTGGCAGCTGTGTGTGTTGTAATGCACTCTAGTAGCATTAGTGACCTGAGTTTTGGCAGCAGTACAGGCGACTTCCTTAAATTGAGTCACGCGGGTCCTGGTGGTGGACCACTTCGACTCGGTCTCTTGCTGTCCCCGCCTCCCAACCCTCTCCCTTCTTGTCCTTTACTGACGTTAATACTGGCTTCTCTCTTTTCTTTCTATATTCTTTTTGTCTTTTTTCTCTGTAGGTTTATATACTGAGTTATACAGAGGTATTTCTTTTTGTTCCTCAAGTCTCACCCAGGGATACCTGCCTTGAAACTATGTTTTTTCTGTGTGTGTGTGTGTATATATATATATATATATATATATATATAAATATCTCAGTAATAATTGCTGTTGATCCTTTTATCTTTTCGATGTCTGGAACGATTTATATTTACTCTCATGGATCATCTCCTCATTCGTGATTTCCGTATATTTATTTACTGGCATGTATATGTTATCACTATTCCTTTTACTTTATCTTGTTAAATTTAATGCAAAAATGCAATAAAGACAATTTGCCTTTAAATTGAGTTGCACTGAGTGCTTCTTTGCTATTGAGGAGAATTGTATTTTTATCATAGAATTCAAGGCTTTTTTTTTTTTAATTGGCTGAGAATGAGAGCAGGCAGATGACATCACAGTTTCCACCTTAGCGAATCAGAGGAAGCTTTGTATGCCAAAATAAAAAATACAAGGCTTCTCCTGAATGGTCGAGAAGCACTCAGTCCAACTCTCTTTAATTCCAGCAGCAGGTGGGATGTCCTGGCCGAACTGCTGCCAGGACAAAGCGCCGCTTACTGAATGTAGACAATACTATTGCGGTGCAATAAAGAACACACGACATCCACATTGTTTTAATGAAAATAGCTTGTTTGGTCCATCTCGGCCCAAACAAACTAAAGTGAAATGAAACCTGGAAAATTCCACCTCTTCAGGTATGTGGTTTCAGAGCTGTTCAGCTGATTGTCCAAGCTAACTCTTCACACACTACACCATCACAGGGTGTTACATTTCTGTGACCAGTGCTTTTATCAGATCATCAGGAGCATAAGAATAATTATTTTCAGCATAAGAATAATTCTTTTGTGGCTAAAAAGAAAGTTAAACCTGTCACTGCTAAGTGCAAGATGGATATTCCCTCTAGAGTTCTAAAGAGTTATAAAACCCAACAGGCAATGTAATCCTGCCTTCTCCATCAAAACTGGTATAAATTCCTCTGAAGCCTCTCAGGAAACTGAAGGTAGCATTTTGAACCAACCCCCAGAAAGAATTCTGTGGCACCTATCAGAAATGATTGTACCTGTAATAGATAAGAAATTAGTTTGTTGAATGGAGGGGTACCACTAAGGCCAAGCTCAGTGCAGACTAGGTCCCCTACAAAATCCCAGCAAACAATGACTTATCCCTGGCCCTATTCAGCTGCTGGCTAGGAAACTCCTGTCACTGTATACAGATGGCCATTGCCATTGGTAATCACATCACAAGCATCCCTGCCCCTTTGTTTACATTTAACAGCCAGCAGCTGAATGTGGCAGGGGAAGAGCAATCAGTTGCTAGACAGTCAGTGGCATCCTAGCAACCACAAGCCCTGTGCATGAAACTGTCACATTCACGATAGCTTCCCAGCACAGACATGCCCCGCTCTGAGCACTGGCGTCTTGCATGCCACTTCAGAGTTGGTCTTAATTACAGACAGTTTCCTAATCTTCAAACTAATGGTAATTCTTTTTGAATCGGTTACAGCCATAGTGACAAGACTCTAAAAGTAGTAGTAATAAGTACTTTAACCTGAAAAGCTTTCGCGAATCTGGTGCATGCCATTTTAAAAGGGACCATATCACCAAAAAAAAGTGTTGTAAATAATTTGATTATATCCCCCCCACACACACCCAGTGTGCACACATGCACAATGGAGCTACTAATTCAAAAGCAGTTAGCTTTTTCCTCTCTTTCTGTACATGGGAGCTGCTTTACTTAACAAAGAATTTATAATTTCTGTCCATCCAGTCCTGGTATTTACACAGCCCTGCCACGCAACAAAGTCTAGTCTTGCAGAGGAGGAGGCCTGATCCTTCTCTGCTAAAACTGAACTTTTACATACAGTTCTTACTTTGGTGATAGATACGCAGCAGTACAGGAGTTGTATGCTTCTGACATGTTATTTCAAACCCTGCCTGCAAGGTCCTAGTCTCAGGCTTCTCAGATAAGCAATCACGTCATTACAATGCCAAAGATAACTATAAAGACAAAAGGTAGTATAAAAAGTGTATATCCTAGGAAATAAACAGCCTTCTGCTCAAGTAAATACAAAATCAGAAGAAAAATTTTGTGTCAACATTGTTTACTGGGGGTCATCATCCCACACGACTGCTAGCCTTACCTGAACATTTCTATCAGTTAAAGTGTCTTCAAGTTTTGTAGCTATGGCAATTGCTTTCTCCTGTCTTGACTTGTCAAGATAATACATCATCTTCGCACCTGCAAAAAAGAAAAAATGAATGATGCCACAAGCTGCAGATTATTATGATTTGCCTATTAAACAAGAAAAAAAAATTGCATTTAAATATTTGGTAACTTAACTTATACCAGGTAACTGGCCTGTCCTTCCTGTACCCTCAGTACTGGTAAGGGATCTGGCCATCATATTTAGCCAAAGCGAGGGAGGGGATGGCAAATGAGTTGACATTTCAGTATTTGTATAATAGCATGCCCTAGTCTTCTAGTGTTTAGGGTTCCTGGGGCAGTCTTGATAAAAACTGAAGTGCAGATGCTTGGAGCTGTATGAATTTGAAATCTAGCCACTATTTAATTAGCAGGAAACTTAATATAGGTACCCTGTAATGGGCAACAACTTTTCTGGGGGAACAAAATTGCAAATAAAAGTAATATAACATTTACACAATTGTTACATAAGCCATATTGTAATGAAATGTTAAAGTGATAATAAAGGATTACATTACAGAAAAAAAAAACAACATGGTATACTTACCTACTGTGTAAGGGTTTTGCACAGAGCAATCTCGATTCTCATCTTCTTAGGCCCCCCCGCCCGTGCTCTGGACTACTCCCCCTGCCAATTGTTCTTCTTAGGTCCCCCCACCCGCACTCTGGACTACTCCCCCACAGCAAGCCAATTGTTCTGGGGGCACTCGTACATGCTTTGCTCCCAAACCCCACTGTGTGTGTCTATGTCTCTGTCTGGCTCGCAGTCTCCGCTCTAATTCATCCCAAAGGTGTTCTATCAGGTTGAGGTTAGGAATCTGTGGAGGCTAGTAAAGTTCCTCCACCCCAAACTCACTCATCCAAGTCTTTATGGACATTGCTTGTGCACTGGTGCGCAGTCATGTTGGAACAGGAAGGGGCCATCCCCAAACTGTCCCCGCAAAGTTGGGAGCATGAAATTGTCCAAAATGTCTTGGTATGCTGAAGCCTTGAGAGTTCCCTTCACTGGAACCAAGGGGCCAAACCCATCCCCTGAAAAACAACCCCACACCATAATCCCCCCTCCACCAAACTTACACTTGGCACAATGCAGTCAGGCAAGTATCGTTCTCCTGGCAACCGCCAAACCCAGACACGTCCATCGAATGGCCAGAGAAGCGTGATTGGTCACTCCAAAGAACATGTCTCCACTGCTCTGGAGTCCAGTGGCGGCGTGCTTCACACCACTGCATCTGGCGCTTTGCATTTCACTTGGTGATGTAAGCCTTGGATTGAGCTGCTTGACCATGGAAACCCATTCCATGAAGCTCTCTACACACTGTTGTGCTAATCTGAAGGCCACATTAAGGTCTTTAGCTATTGACTAGGCAGACAGTTGGTGACTTCTGCACACTGTGCACTTCAGCATGCGCTGACTCTGCTCTGTCATTTTACGTGGCCTACCACTTCATGGCTGATTTGATGTTGTTCCCAGTTGCTTCCACTTTGTTATACCACTAACAGTTCACCGTGGAATATTTAGTAGCAAGAAAATTTCACGGATGGACTTATTACACAGGTGGCAACCTATCACGGTACCACGCTTGAATTCACTGAGCTCCTGAGAGCAACCCATTCTTTCACAAATGTTTGCAGGCGCAGCCTGCATGCCTAGGTGCTTGATTTTATACACATGTGGCCATGGAGAAGATTGGAACACCTGAATTTAATGATTTGGAGGGGTGTCCCAATACTTTTGGGCAATATAGTGTATCTGTAATGTACACTGATCACCCAGAGTGGATTGGGATTTTTTTCTCATCAAAAGTGGAATCACTCTTCAAGCTTCATTTAAGTCAAAATGTAAAAACTGCAATTGTATTTTACACCAGTGGAAAAATTGCAACAAGGCCATTGTACCTGAAAGCAAATGCTGAATGGAGGTAGAATTGTTTCTGAGAAACTCTTCATTGAAGCTCTCCAGATCCTTGTTAGTAAAGATACTCTTCATTTCATGTAAGAGGACTTTATTTACAATTTCTGGGAGATTGCTGTGATCTGAAACTGAAATAATGGAATAGACCATCAGTTACATTCAATGGCACAGAAAGTGCATTCATTGCATAAAAAAAATAATACCCGCTTACCTAATTTTGAGAACCGTATTAAACACTCATGTAGCCAGGGGTTATTGCTATCAATGGCAAATGCCCTTTTCACAGACTGCAACATCAAAAGGAATTTTCCTATGAAAAAAAAAATAATTGTTATCGTATTCGAGGTGATTGTAGCCGTATTAGTGCATTTGCGACAGAAACAATTGAGTACTGTCCGTGATACTTTTTTTTATTTGCACTAACAAAAAAAAAAGTATCAATTGTTTCTGTTATTTTATTCAAAGTCATAGAAGCCCAAAATACATCATGACTAAGTATTTACAAAAACTGCAAACAGTAACGATCATATGCAGACACGTACAGCATCCTAGTAAGTTTTAGCTTACTAAATCAAGCATTTTGAATAGTTTATGTGGATGACTGCACTTTGCATATGGAATTTTGCCATACTGAATAAGCAACACTGCATTTACTTCCAATTTTCCTTTGGGGTAGATTTACTAAAGCTGGTTCACTCAGAATCTAGTGCAGCTGTGCATGGTAGCCAATCAGCTTCCAACCTCAGCTTGTTCTATTAAGGTTTAGCAATAAAACCTGGAAGCTGATTAGTTTACATGCAGAAGTGAAAGAGACTCTGAGTGAACCTCTTTTAACAAATAAACCCCTTTCTTCCCTCTATCGACAATTCCTGCTTTTCCTCCACTCTCCCCTGTCCATGATTAGATCTTGCTCTGTATCCCTCACTATGATCTCCCCCCCTTCCTCTTCCACATTGGCTCCCACTCCCACCAAATGGATTACCTCTTGTTCTCTCAGCTTCCTCTATCTCCTGTCTACGGTGTGCTCCCACTCTGCCCATTTTCTCTACCTTAGCCTAAATTTCCCCCTATCCACCATCAGCTTAATTTTGCCTCTTTTCTCAATTGACATCCCTACCTCTCTAAATCCTCCCTGGTCCCCAAATAGCTGCTGCGCCTCCTCTCCTTATGTTTCATAGTCAGTACCTTTCTTCTCTCCTCCAACCATTATCAGTTTCTACCCTGTTTCTACTACACCTAATTTTTTCATTCCTTGATCCACAATTGGCTTGCTCCATCCCTTCTTCCAATGATCCACAATCAATTGCAGATCCACCATCCCTCCAAGTACAGTCGGCTCCCACTATGCCTCTTGAGAAGCTCCTGCTTTGTCCAACTAAAATATTATCTGGTTAGGCAGTTACGCTTACTAGTGTATTACAAACACCATTCAGCTTTATTTAACCCATTCATGGATGTACCATGGATGGTCTATTCTAATTATTTATTCTCCTACTTTATGTAGCACATAATAAAATTACACAGTACAAAATGCATAAGCCAAAGCAAAAAGGTTTTGGAAGGCTACATTGTATTTCTTTTAAGACTATATTATGTTTATATTATCAATTTATAAATATGACATGGGCATAGTGTTTTAGTTTTTAGCACTTATGTCTTGCAGCACTAGGGTCATTGGATCCAATGATCCTAGTGCTGTTTGGCAAAAGTGCTAACCACTAAATCACTACACCTATGCCAATTTCAGAAACCCCAACCTCAACACAACCTGCATGGAGTCTGCATGTGTTCCCTGTGCTTGTGTGGGTTTCCTCTAGGTGCTTGAGTTTCTTCTCACACTTCAAAGACCTGCTGGTAAGTTAATTGGCTGTAGTATGTGTATTTATGCATGTAAGGTAGGGACTTTGAATTGTAGCTCCTTGAGGGCAGGGACTAATGTGAATGTTCAATATATATAAAGCCCATCGGTAATTGTCATCACTATATAAATACCTATAGTAAATAAATTAATAAAAACAATACAAGACAAAAAATTGTAAGAGTTGACATTCATGAGCAGGTATGAAAAATATGCCAGCTACAAATCATATAATATTTTCAGGGGATCTCGTAATACTTCCAATAAAGTTTGGCATGTGGGGTGGTTTAAAAAAAGTTACAAAAAAATGGAGCATGTCAACTCTTCAAAATGTGATCTATTCAGAAAGAATTTTATCTCTAAACATTTAGGAGTTAAAGGAGCTAAAAAAAATGAATTCTTAAACACAAGGCTGATCGCTTAGTTACCTTTTCTAAAATAAATTTCAAATGCCAGTAGGTGTGTATATATGTTATTTGCTGCAAGGCTTTTCAATGGTGTGAGAAACTTGATAGCTTCTTCTAAGGGATTCTCAACCTGTTTGGGACACAATAATGAGGAGTCAATAACACAGCCACAGTGATGCTCCAGAAGGCACCATAAGGCAACAAACAACAATAAAATCCAATGTAAACAGCAGGAAAAGGCAACAAAGTACAATTCAGGAGTTAGGCACTGCAATATTGGAGCTAGCTGGGAAAGTACAAAAAGAGATACCTCTATCACTTTGATTCTAGAAACCTAGACATAGCATAAATGACTATATGAATAAATAAATGAATAAATATAACATTCAAAAAACCATAAACCCAAAAAATGTGTCTATGAGTGTAGCAATTATTCTTGAAGCAATAATTGTGAATAATTATTTTTGACAAAATAAAAAGTCCACGAATCCACCTTAAGCTTTCCTCCGTGAAATAGTTTCCATCAACTTAAATCATCCAGTGAAATCCACCAAACAGAAAAGAAAACAGCCTCTTAGCAGATGTATAGACCCCAAATTATAGGTGGTCTAACGAGACACGAAACTGTGTACAATACGATCTGTATTGTCCACCACGGAATACCTGGTATCACGATCACTTCCTCCTCCCCTTTTCAAGGCTCAGGTGTGGAGAAGAAATGAATGCCAATAGTGAAGTACCGCAGATGAAGTTTATTGATAAAAGTCAAAATTCTACTTACAAAATTCCAATGTCAAAATCGCATATAGCAACAACTCTGCTGCTGTTGGCTGCAGCAGAAGTGGGTGACGTTAGCACAGACTCCTCCTCCCCGACGTATGTTTCAGCTAAACAGACTTTGTCAAGGGGATTTTAACATTAGAATTTTATAAGTAGAATTTTGACTTTTAGTTAATAAACTTTATCTGCAGTACTTCACTATTGGCATCTGTTTTTTTTCTCCACACCTGAGCCCTTGAAAAAGGAAGGAGGAGGTGATCGTGATACCGAGTATTCCATGGTGGATGGGATAATACGGATCGTACTGTACATAGCTTCGTGCCTCATTGTATCTACTCACGCTTTCACAAATATGTAACACAAGTGACACTCAGTGGGATTCCCATTGTATCTGTTTATTCTGCAGTACATAGGACCCATCTGGGGAGAATCTCACCAACATTCAGGTTTGTGATGGCCACATCAGCTGGACAGGCCAGAGATGATCTTATTGAATTTCCCAAAAGATTTAAACCAAAAATGTGATTTGTCAGCAACTATACAAAAATTTTTTGGGGGATATACAGTCAATGTTTGGATGTAATATGTTCTCTGCATATTACTAGTGAACTGTGTCTAATAACATAATTGACATGGGCTTCATTCATGTGGGTGTACAGATTGATAATAAAGGGCCATCTTCATCCGCACAGAATTTACACTTGCTCTGTGCAGCCACATGTGAGCAGACTGTTCAATGAATGACAGGTGGGCAGCTACACAGACCTTCATATATCTCCAAATGCATCCCTAATTGTACATATGCGTGGATCTGAAGCACAAATTAGAATGCAAATGGATGGCCCTTTGCACGGGTGTAGAGATCAGTATGCCCTTGTGAAAGAGGTCTTAATCCTACCAACGCACAGCTTGTCAGAGTAGTAACAGATGCAGTTCAATTTGTTAAAACAGTTCAAAATGTTTACTACCTTTCAAAACAGACACCTTACTCTTTTCATAAACTCAATAATAATACAGTTTTTCCATCATCATCTAAAGTGATAGAATAGCCCACCCTTTCCAGTTTTTCAGGAACAAGTTCTTCTTTTGGCCCACTTGTTTCCTCCTCCTCTTCATCTCTCTTTTTCTTCTGATTTTTCTGCTGTCGCTCTCTCTCTGCATGTTTTCGCTCTTCTTCCAGTTTAGCCTTCTTTTGAGCTCTCCTTTGTTTACTTAAAACTTTTTTTAGTTCCTTGGCTGAGAGGTTTTCTGTACAAAAATGAACAGAAAATATTCTTACTTTTGTGGGCATAATTAGCTGCAGCCACTGACCAGTGTATTCTGACATCATGGAACCTTGCATGTGTGGATGGAAGAAAACTAACCATGTGATGCCAGTCAAGATGTTTAAAGGTTGGCTGCTTGATGCACATTCAATTATACTTACTTTTGTGTGCAGGATTAAAGATTTTTTTTGTAGCACAGTCAAATTTAAAACTGTACTTCAGGACCCACCCCAGGCTGAGAATGCACAAGAAAGGAGCAGCAGTTCATTAATAAAATCATCAATCATCTCATTACTCTGCTGCTGTTCTGAGAATTACAGAAAATCAAAATTATGATAGATTCAGGAATATTTGCCAGCTGAATGTAAAAATATATTTAATGCACAATTACATTTTATAAAAGAATATTCAAATTTGTTTTGTTTAAAATTGTCCTTCCATCAGTTTGGGTAGGGAAGGCCAACTGGACCGATGCAGAGACCATGGCTTCCACACAAATAGCAGCAGTCATTCTTTGCAACTCAATGCAAGGGATAGGGATGTTTGTACAAGTGCAGAGGCAGAACTCAACAAAGTTTAATCACTGTGATATATAGCGTATAAAATAAACAAATATGGCTGTCCATTTTACACAAATAATGACCAACTAAGCTTACAAACATTGTGTGTATATTATTCCAGGTTGATCCTTCTAATATATACACTCACTGGCCTCTTTATTAGGTACACCTGTTCAATTGCCTGGGAACACAAATTGCTAATCAACCAATACATGGCAGCAACTCAATGCATTTAGGCATCTAGATGTGATTAATAGGATTTGCTGAAGTTCAAACCGAGCATCAGAATGGGGAAGAAAAGGGATTTAAGTGACTTTGAACTGACATGATTGTTGGTGCCAAACGGGCGGGCCTCAGTATTTCAAAAACTGCTGATCTACTGGAATTTTCAGGCACAACCACATTTAGAGTTTACAGAGAATGGCCTGAAAAAGAAAATATCCCGTGAGTGGCAGTTGTGTGGAAGAAAATGCCTTGTTGATGTCAGAGGAGAATAGGCACTGGATCAAAATGATAGAAAGGCAACAGTAACTCAAATAACCACTCGTTACAACCAAGGTATGCAAAATATCATCTCTGAATGCACAACACATCGAACCTTGAACCAGATGGGCTACAGCAGAAGACCACACCAGGTGCCACTCCTGTCAACAGGAAAAGGAGGCTACAATTCTCACAAGCTCACCAAACTTGGGACAATAGAAGATTTGAAAATTGTTGCTTGGTCTGATGAGTCTCCATTTCAGCTGTAACATTCAGATGGTAGGGTCAGAATTTGGTGTAAACAACATGAAAGCATGGATCCATCCTGCCTTGTATCAACAGTTCAGGTGGGTGGTGGTGTAATGGTGTGGGGGATATTTTCTTGGCACACTTATGGCCCCTTAGTACCACATGAGCATTGTTTAAACGCCATGGCCTACCTGAGCATAAATGATGACCATGCCCATCCCTTTATGACTACATTTTACTTATCTTCTGATGGCTACTTCCAGCAAGATAATGCAACGTGTCACAAAGGCCAAATCATCTCAAACTGGTTTCTTGAACATGACATTGAGTTCATTGTAATCCAATGGCCTACACAGTCACCAGATCTCAATCCAATATAGCACCTTTGGAATGTGGTGGAAGAGAGAGATTCGCAGTATGGATGTACAGCCGACAAAACTGCAGCAACTGCGTGATGCTATCAAGTTAATATGGACCAAAATCTCTGAGGAATGTTTTCAACACCTTGTTGAATCTATGTCATGAAGAATTAAGGCAGCTCTGAAGGCAAAGGGGGTCCAACCCGATACTAGCAATGTGTACCTAATAAAGTGGCCGGTGAGTGTAGACTGAATCACATGTTAATATACGATATGAACACAGGATATTCTGCAGCTTTATAGACAATCAATGTATATAGAATGTAGAAGATGAGCGTACCAGAATTGACTTCCTGCTCTTTGCTCTCATTCATTAAAGGGTTTTCATGAAGCTTTAGATAGATTCCTATGGCAGTCTGAGCAGCTTTGAAATAGAAGACATGCTGTCGTAGTACATCTTCCAAGCGCAGGAGATCAACATATGCTCGCAGGGTCATCTTCCTCATACAGTATGTGTGGAAATCAAACTGATCATCAGTAATTTCAAAGAAGTGCTGAAAAACAAATATGTTTTTAAAGATATACAAATTAAGGCAAATTGGTAAACTTTATAAAAACAGACGTCCCGATTCAGACTACTCCAAAGAAAAACACAGATGGGGTATCTTCCTCCAGCAGTAATGTTGTGGAATTACACTAACATCAGCAGGCCTAAATATGGCTAATCCACTGCTATAATGGAGAACATGGGCGATCATATACTGCATTTTACCATTTTATTTCTCACCTCAGTGCAAGTACGGCATTGTTGCTTACAAGGCTGTTCTGTGAGGTAAGGAATCCTTTCACTTTGCTACATGGAGACCACATGAAAGCTTTAAAGTATAACTAAAAGAATGCCTAATTATTTTTCTTTTTTATATTTGGATAGAGTGGTAAGAGGTTAGAATGACTGTCAGGTATTGATGTCACCAGGAATCAAAGCCATGGAAAATTCAAAATTTTGAGTTGACGCCAGAACAGGAATAGAGGGGAAACCTTCCAAAAGGAACACTTTTTTCCATGACAACTATCTAAGACAGGAAATCCCTCACACTGGAAAGATATTATTTCCTGTTGAGGCAAAAGGACAGGGAAAGCCCCATAATGAGACACAGATCACAACAAAAAACTGACAGCAGTTTTAACTCTTCATTTATCTAAAAAAAAAAAAAAAAAAAAGAAAAAGGCCTTTAGAGACACATTAAAGCGGAATTTTACCCAAAAAAGTGGAAGTTCTGCTTTTCTCCCCTCCTCTACCACCACCGAACAATTTTTTTTTTTTTTACCTAGTTCTACTTCAAGACAGACTGCCACAGATTACCAGTCCATAGATTGGCACTGGTTTGAGCCCCCTCACCTTATTTTCTTGTGGTGATCCTGCCAGTAACACAATTCCTGCATTAGGGTGGCAATGTTCACTCACTGTACTGTAATTATGAAGGAGCAACATTATCATCCTAGGCTGCTCGCTCCCAAATTGGACTTCAGAACAATTCACTTTCACATCATAACCATAAAAGTGTACATAGGTACACTGGGAAGAGCGTAGCAGAAGCAAAGAGAACAGGAAGTTAGCTTACTGGTTTTCTGGCAGGATCAACATGTACCTGAAGCATTTTAGAAAGACAAAGCGTGGGGAACTGTCTATATATTGGACATATGTTCTGAACAGGGCTATTCCCTGAGCAATGTGCTCAAGAAGGGATGCATGCATAGCTATAGTTCCCTTTTAAATATGGTTAAAGTTAAACAAAAAAGCTCTCATTTAAATATATTCTTCAATAGCCACAAAGCATATAAATCTACTTTGTGCACACCGAATGCCTGTACAAACCCAGTTATTAAAAGTAGCAGTGACATCACCGCAATGGGATTAGCAAGTGCAGAGAGCAGAGCAGTGGGTGGGGTTCAACAGCTCCATTCATTACAGGGTACCTAGAGAAAACTACAGGAGGGGGTGAATACAAGACCAGTCACCCTGCACAAGGAGAGACAGCAGCAGTGACTATTCTTTATTAAGTGTTCTTAAATGGCAAGACCACTTACTGTTATCTCACATATATATTCTTATTATTATAGCCAAAATTTACCACCCTAACTCCTCCCACAGTTTTTACACTACATAGACAGTAATATACCGAAACGTGCGGATTGTTTCCGATTAGTGTGCAATTACTTTGTGGAACGTTTTACCGAATGGTTCACGAAATATCGGCGTTTTTGTGGTGAAATTGGTCCCATAGGAATGAATGGCGGAATGTTCAAAACTAGAGTGGGAGCTGACAAAAGCTAGAGTGTGAGCTGAAAAATCAGCACATGATTTCTAAACTGCCATCACTCCTTCATTTTCAAGCCCACCTACACAAAATCTTATATCAAAACGTTCAGCTATCCCTGCTGCCACTAAAAATGTCCACGGCTAAGCCATAGTCCTGATAGTTTTCACAATATGACCATTTGTTTGCAACTCATGCCGCCCATTGACAGTCATTGCAATTGCACTCTAGCCACCCCAAATTTGAAGGGCAATTTCTAAACTGCGATTGTGCCTTCATTTGTAATATTTCAGAGACATACTATGCATCACAATGTAGGTCTGGGTCTTGTGATTCTCACAATATAAAACTCTTCGCTGTAGGATTTATAGTTTTTAAAACTACGACCATTTGAAGACGCCATTGAAGTGAGCAATTTGGAGCAGTTTGTTTTTAACCGCTCTTCTCTGCCCTATTTGAAATCTAATTTTGGAATTGTGACAGTTTGGCCGGCTTCTGGTTAAAGGTTTGGAAATACGTTTTCTACAGTAGAGAGTATTTGAGGTGATAATGCTGCTAATGTTTTTATAAATGTATGTTTTAATGTAACTGTGAAGCACTTTGGGCAACAACATTGCAATTAAATGTGCTATATAAATAATTAAAAGTTGAAATGCATTTCTCACTCTATCAAGCTTGCCATGTGCACTTTTTAAAATTGATCAATCAATTGGTTAGTGTAAAGTTTACTATCTTTACTCACTCCAAACACTCCACAGTTACTCTGCCCACTCCATAAAGTTACTCTGCCCAGTCCAACCTTTTCACAGTTACTCCAGACACTCCAACCACGCAACAGTTACTCCAACCACACAACAGTTACTCAAGCCACTCCACCCAGTTACTCCGCCCACTCCAGTTGTAGACTACTGGTGGAGGTAAGAACACTTCACACAATTTCCCCAGAAATTGTAGCTTTTCTAGTTAAAAGAAAGCTCCGGCACAGAGACGAAGTTTCACAACAGATTACTGCACAGATCTGGAAGAAATACACAACGCACCCCAAGATTCCAGTAAGAATACAAAAGTCTTTTGTAATAAAACATTATTTGCTTACCCTGGAGTGCAGCTTTAAGAAAAAACATGTCTAAGTTAAACCTCTCACAGCTCATGCAGTTTTGGTCCTAAAAAAGGCAAAAAACTGTTGCCAATACTAACACAAAAGGGAAAAGGAAATTTTATCCCTGACCCTGTAAGAGCAAAAGGCCCTGAATTAAAATGGCCTTAGTCTTTTTGTTTAATTTCAGTTTGGGATATTAGTTACAAAACAATCGGCTAGTCCTTTTAGATGTTCCATTACTGACTTTTTTTGCAAACTAAACACACATTTGTTTTAATCATACAGTGTAAGATTTTGCATGCAGATTTTATTAATTTACTTTTTCACCTACCACTTTCTACAAAACTCTATGTAATTTTTAGAAAGCTATGCCTAGAACTGGAACCCTTAATCAAGATATGGCTTTACAGGTGAATTATACAACGGTTAATACTGCATGTTTTTATTTCTCTATTTATAACAGATTATGCCATTGTCACAAGGCACCAAGTAGTATTGCTTAATGCATTGTTAATCTGTTTTTCCAAATCCTTCATATTTGATCAAATATATTCTACTTAATGTAGAGCTGGCAATGTTATTCTCATTACCTAGGTGCATAACCTTACATTTCTTATTAATAAATTGTATTTGCCATTTGACAGTGTTTCTGTTTAGTCAAGATCTTTTTATATGTCACGATGTTACCAAGTTTACCCAATTCTTTACAGCTATCATCATACCATCAATATATTTTTTTAATTTATTACAGGTACTTATATAGTGCTGTCAATTGACACAGCGCTTTACACATATATTATTGTACATTCACTAGCATAAATATTTAAATCCCTAGATCATCAAGGAGAAGAGTTAAGTACCGGGCCCAATACCACCACTAATTTTATCAATTTTGAACATCCGTTTACACCTTATTTGGGTTTTGGTGGTTTCAAAGAAATATTTACCTATGTAGAAATATTCCACCTTATCCTTGCATCCTCAGTTCTATACCAGGTTATTATATTGGGCATTATGAATTTCAAGAGCAAAATTCATATACAATGGTTCTACGTTGTACGAAAAGTATGTGGATTCTGCACATTCTTTAAAACACAACTACATTACAATAAAAATAAAGCACAGAGATTTCAAGTTTTACCATATTTTAGATTTACCCTTTCTATTTCGTGGCATTTTTTCAGTGCTTCCCCATATTTGCCCATTCTCTGGTAGGAACTGGCACACTCCGTCTGGAACCACATGCATTGCATCTCATTCAGATTCTCCATGGCAGGTGTTCCTTCCTGAAAGAAAGGGTCCTACAATTATAAAATGTAGTATTATGTATTTTGTCAATCTCCGTCCTTGTAACACATAAAATGACCTGCATTTATGGGCTCTGAAAAGAAGTTTTTCATAAATAATAGTTTATTCACTGTAATCTAAATAAACATTCATTAGTTTTACCCTTGTAAACTTTGAACACATCTCTTCTGCTTCTTGGATCATATTGGCTCGGAGCATGTATTTTGCACACTTGGAGTTAATGAACCGATCTGCAGTGTCCAATGACTGAGCTTCATCCATCCACTTGGCAGCTTCCTTGAGATTTCCTATATGCTGTGTTAAGAAACGAAATGGCATTAAAGTGTTTTAGCAATCAAGCTGCATCCTGGCAGCTTTGCAAATACATTTTCACTGAGTCCAGAAACACTCAATCACACTTAGGCAATGTTCTGTACTTCAAGGAAATCATCATAGACTAACAAAGAACAACTTTAGTATTTGTCAAGTACTCAGCTAAATTTCTAAAAAGTATTAATCTCTGCAGATAACCACAATAACCTTCCTAAACAATGTATATTCTATAGCTGACAGAACAGGTACCATGCTAGACACAATGGGAGAGATTAACTAAAACTGGAACACCCAGAATCTAGTGCAGCTCTGCATGGTAGCCAATCAGCTTCTAACCTCAGCTTGTGCAATTAAGCTTTGACAATAAAACCTGGAAGCCGATTGGCTTCTATGCAGAGCTGCACCAGATTTTGCACTCTCCAGTTGTAATAAATCTCCCCCGGTGGATAACTTCTTAAATAGATGTATACTATAGCACTCTACAGAGCTAAAATGTTTTATATATATATATATATATATATATATATATATATATATATATATATATATATATATACCACATACAACTTCTGTGTTCCTTCTTCTCACAAAGTTGTTCATGTAACCTCTCCTTGCTGTATGCTATAAATAAAATCAAAAGTTTTTGGGATAAAAGAGAATTTTTTTTTTTTACCTTATAAATCTTGGCTTTCATATAGAATAGCTCTATTAACGTTGGTGTGCTTGCAATGGCAGAGTTGATAAAGTCTAAGGCAACAGACCACTGACCAAGCTTATCAAAGTGCTGTGCTAGGAAATATCGAACCCAGAGAAGCGTTGTTGGCGGCTCTCGCTCCTCATTATCTGCAAACATAAAAATAGTAATGATTTTATTCGATTTGATAACAAACCCAGTAGCCTCCAGAAAGTTCAGCAAGGGGCTTGGTTTCAGTAGTCATACACTGCTAACTTACTGCTTTTTAAAAGTGAAGGGGGCTACAGGAGAAAAAAAAAAAGAAAAATCTCAAAAAAAGGTCACAGCAGCCAATCAACATCCAGCTGTAATTTCTGCAGTGCAGGTTTAAATACAAAGCAAGGATTTTGATTGGAGGATATGGAAACACAAAAAAAGTTCCATATAGGCTAGATTCACACTAGAACGTCATGCAGTTGTGATTCGCAGTGGGCGACAATGCTAAGTTGACAACTCAAACACAGGTCACAAACGCAGTGCGTGCCTGCACTGGATGTCATGGTACAAAAGTACCATGTGATCTGGTTGCAGTGTTATGCAGTGTGCTTTGAGCCAATTCAAAATGAATAGGATCAATTTGCACCGCACCGAATCTCACACGTTCCTGTAAGATTCATAGCGTGAACTGGGGCTCAGTGACTCACTGAAACCAATTCATTTTTACAATCAAACTCGTCAAAGAATTAAAAAAATAAAATATGTGTGGAGCCACTCTTCCACACAGCATGTCATAACAGATCATGTCTGAACCCGGAAAAAAAAAAAAGAAGCATATTTCCAAGATGCTATAGACCAGTGGTCTCCAAACTGTGGCCCTTTGCTTGCCTTTATCCGGCCCTGGTAGCACTATTCCTCTCACTGATATGAGGCACTATTCATCCTACTGACGCCAACAATGAGGCACCATTCCTTCCACTAACACCAACAGTGGGGCATAATTTCTCCCACTGACACCAACAATGGGACATGATTCCTCCCATCATTTCTCCTCTACTGATCACAGGCGCTGTGCAATGTTTTTACTCCCACTGACCACCAAGCCTGAGGCATTATTTATATTGATTCTGGGTCATTTGCTATTTCCAGTGGCCAGAGTCTGGCCCCCTTAATATCTGAAGGACAGTAAACTGGCCCTTTGTTTAGAGAGTTTGAACACCCCTGCTAAAGACCTTCAGACATGTACAAGGGACTTGATGCAGCCTACTCTACAGAAAAAAAAGTACATCAGCTCAAGTAATGGTTTATTTACCCACCCCTACAAGAGTACAGTATTATAAAATATGTGCACTAGAAGCTTAGCTTAAAATGAGCATATTGTAGTGTTGGGGAGGGCAAAAACAACATTTTTCAGGTGGCAAAAATAAAAATGTATATCAGCTTCTCTCCTACTGAAAGGATAAAAATCACTGGTTATATTTACCGACCCCCTAAAGCTTGCTTTTAGAGTGTATGTAAACCAACAATCTATTTTTCGGTATGCCTGGCATGTCACTGTATAACATTTTTGAAACCACATCGTTTAATATGTTGTAAAGTTTCTTACAGGGAGATCCTGCCAATAACTGCACTTCCAGTTTCAGGCTGACAACACTAAGCTGCTGCCTTGCAATTATTGCTGCATTGTTGTCTGTCAGCCATGTGCACTCCTTCAGTTAGCTATCAGGCTGCCTAGGATTGCAGGAGGTATGGGCAGACCAAAAAAGCAGTCCAATAGCCAAATTAAACAGCGAGCATGGCAGCCTGACAATGCTGCTGCTAACTGCAAAGCAATGGCCTAAAACAAGAAATGCTGTTACTGGCGCAATCTTCAGGTAAGAAACTTTGCCGACTTACAAAGTGATTTGCTTTAGAAACTGTACAGCAAGACATGATGCCAAAACATACTGTAAAAAAAAAAGATTTTCGGATTTACAGAATGTTTAGACAATCTTATATGTTTGCAACAGTTGTACATTTATTCTCTTGTAAAACAAAAAGCAGCATTTGTATTTTATCTAAGTGCTCAATAATACTCTCAACTCAATCACAGCTAAGGAGGGTGCACTACAAATACTTGGAAAATTAAAATGAAGGTTCAACCTTCAAAGGCTTACTAGCCCAAGGATTCTGTTTTTCATGCATGCATAGGTGAGTTTACCGAGCCTTTCCACTACTTAAAGTGGAACTAAACCTAACTTTCAGAAAAATGCGAGCTGGCAGCTCTTTATTGCAGAAGAAACATGCTTTGTCCCTTCTGCAATTAAATAAAGTTACCTGCCAGTTTAGTTTCCTACTGAATGTACACTGTGCTTCACATTCACGGCACACTCCAACTGTGCAGGAATGACTTGCTCCCGTGCACATGCACTGATGACATCATCCCCTGACTGCCAATGAAGTGGACTAAAAACAAGTACCCTGGAAGGTAGAGGTGAGTATATTAAGGAGTTTAGTTCCACAATATCACCTTCTTGTTGCTAATCTTGTGTTATGGGTAAACCAACCACTAATCCATGTAAATACAATGAAGGAAATAAGCATTTGATCCCCTGCTGATTTTGAATATTTGCCCACTCACAAAGAAATGATCAGTCTAAAAATCGAATGGTAGGTGTATTGTAACACAGAGACAGAATAGCAACAAAAAATTCAAAAGAAATGCACATCTAACAAATTATGCACTGATTTACATATTCATGAGGGACGTAAGTATTTGATCCCCTATCATTCAGCAGGATTTCTGGCTACCAGGTGTTTTTCATACAGGTAACAAGCTGAGATTAGAAGCAGTCTCTTAAAGGGAGTGCTGCTAATCTCAATTTGTTACCTGTATAAAAGACTACTTGTGGCCAAGTATTCTTAAAAAATGTCCACTATAGGCTCCTTGCTCTATGTCACAGCACACACAGGGAATAATGTGCCTGGCCTGGAACTAGAACGATTGTTGGGAGTTGGATGATAGCAGTTCTGGATGGGAGCCTCAGCCATACCAGCTGTCCTGGCAGTTACGGTCAGAAACAAAGGGCTCATATGGATCACTTTTTGCAATCCTAAATAAAAAAAATGTTTAATAAACTATACTTAAACTTGTACAATAAGTGACATAAAAAAAAAATTACCATCGGTACAAAACAAGCCACAGGCCTTCAATGAATTCTCATAACCAATAGCAAGTTCTTGTATTACTGAAACCTGTAAATTAAACAAACATAATATTGCTGTAAAAATGTCTAATGTGTTGTACTCAAACACTTTTACATCTTTCAAAAATCAAAGAATTTCAATGATGTCTTCAACCTTAAGCAGGGTATACCCATTGAGTTTTTTTGTTTATTTCCCATTCAACCAGCTGGTTGAACAAAAGAAAATAAAAAAAAAAAAAAAAAAAACTCATAGATCCCCGCATCAACACAAGTGATGTTGATGCAGGGATCTCTACCGCTGTGTCTTTGTTTTCTGACAGCGGGGACTCACCCTAGTCAGAATACGCAGACCAGCCATTGACTGGAAGCACTGATTGAATGCTGATTTTCAGTATGACCATTCGAAAGAATCCAGTCATTAGACCAGCATCTTTTGAACAGACAACGGTACACACAGACCAAAAGTCGGTCAGTTCCTGCTATACATTATTTCTATAATAATGTAGAATATCTGTATATTTCTATACAGAAATTATACATCCTGAAGATAAATGGTCTTTTTCTAAGCAATGAATTGCATTTTTCAAACGCATGCAGAAAAACAATGGATAAGCAGAGCAGAGTTTGCAGTGGCAGCAAGAGTGTGAACAGGGGAGTAGAAGACTGGAGGGGTAATCTAAAGGATAATATGCAAGTTAAAATATAGTTATTTATTGCAGTCTGCTCTACATTACTGAATAATTAAATCATGACAACCCTCCTAAAGGTAGAATTGAAAACAGCAGAGCTCAGGGAGGTAATACAGACTGTCAACAGGTGTACAAAGTTTGTTACAGCAGTGTGCATTTACATACCAATACCAGGCTAACAATCAAAAGTGCTTCACCTTTTCTGAAGAACTGTACAAAGATTTCAATGTTGTAAACAAAGGAGGGCAACCTTTGCTGAAGTTAATTCGTAAAAACTTATCCATTCTGTCTCTAAATTTGTTGCCTAGAGAAATAAAAATGCAATTATTCAAAACTTTTAATATTAACACATGCAAATATTAATAGGAAAGAGAATATTTGGCCTTGTTCACAGAAATTGATTTGTAGGAGAAGCAGGTACAGGGAGACTCCACCCAAAACTATTTTTAGTTCTGGATACAGTGAAAAAGTATTAGCAACTTTTAGCTTTTTGTTGTTCCCCAATACAAAGGGCCACTTCTGATCACAGCTGAAGTGGGAGCGGGTACCTGTCAAATTTGGGTACCCACTCCCCCCCCCCACTGCCCAAAGGAGCCAAATCTTAATGAGGAGCGTAGGGCAAAAGCTTAAAGAGGAACTTCCCCTTTTGGGTGGAGCTCCGCTTTAAGTCCACATATTGTGGACCTGTCACAATTGTTTATTCTTTATGGATCCAGGTTTACAATGTGCTTTAAATACTCTTTAGAGTTGATATTTCAACGCTACCTGGAGAGATGTTGTTCAACTTGAAACCAGATGGACTTTCAAAACATCACTATAGATTGACAACTTGCATTTTTACAGCTACCAAACAAATCGTAGCTAGAACCTGGCTGTCAGATTCCCTTTCCCTGGTGGCAGATACAGACTCAAAAATAATACCTCCCTAATGTCCTCCCTTTTTTCATAGTATTTCACGCATTACTATTGTCTTCTTCATACAAGTATTTAAATGGTTCATGTTACAACCTTTCTTACTATAGGACCATGTTTCATGGAATCTCTGGGACTGTAGGTGGGGGTAATCTCCCCAATGAGAATAAAGACCGCAATAACTACCTGGCTGAAAATCTAACACCTCCACACTCTATGTATAACTATATGAATTACACCCATGATATCCTTCTGCACACAACCGACAGCTCAGTTATGACCTCTGTAATTAACCCCATCACACAGCACTTTTGATGAAGGAAAATGTTTTTGCGATTTTTTAGTAGTGACAACAGTTTAAAAAAAAATAAGAATAGCTAAAAAATAAATACATAGGACCCTGTAGACTATTTCAAGAGATTGGTGTGTGTTCCCTCTTCCTTCATTAGAGAAGTTTTTCTCAAACTTTTCCAAGTCATGGTGCCCTTGAAAAAGGTATTTTTCAGTCTTGAGGCGCCCCAGTCTAAGGCTTTGTTGCCATTACTGCGCACATTCCTGACATGCACATGCGCAGGACTGTCTTTATTTCTTAATAGTACCAAGAAATGGTAAATGCAGTGTGTTTTTGGTGCAATGTGATAAAAAAAATAAAAGAAAGAAGAGAGGAAGAAAGAAGGGAAGAAGAAAGAAGGGAAGAAGGGAGGAAAGAGGAGAAGAAGAAGATCCCCCACTTCTCTTTTATTCCTTGTGTTCCCACTTCACTTTTCCTTGCATTTCTGTGGGTAGGGTAGTCCATTGAAATGAATGGGCTGCCCTACATGCAGCTGCACATGTGAACCAAAGGGTCGTTCACAAATAAGGTTGGGCGCACCAAAAACTATGCAGCTGAGCTGTGTTTTTATCACCACCAACTGCTCTCCCTTTAGCTGCAGAGGCCAAGCCGCAGCAGGAAGTAAACCCCCAGGTGAATGCATACAGGATTAGTGGGTCATGATTAAAAGTTAGACATACATGTACCTAAATATAAACTCACCCTCACATACATACACACCCTTGCACTGCCAGGTACAACACTGTAGGGGGAGGCGGAAAGGTCAGGACTCAGGACACCTTCCCAACTCCCTCTACTCTTCACTCACCTGATCGATCTGCTGCACAGATATACAATTCAGTAGGGGAGCAGGAGCTCGGTTGGATCCGAATGCCATTCTCAACCAGGATGCCACAGCAGCATTAGAGTCTCAGTACTTATGTTTGCAATCTCCTTCAATGCAGAAGTCTCTCTCATCTGCCACAATGGGGAGCTCAGGAAAAAGGAGGCTAAACATCTGCCAAGAGCGACCTCTAATGGTGATTAGGAGCAGCTTCTGCAGTATTGCAGCAGAATGTAACATTTAGACAGCCAAAGCTGTTCAAGTAAGGTATGCCAATTTTTGATGCTGGAAGCAAAACTTGTCAATTAAGCCACGGAACAATTTGTAATATAACAAATTGCTACCGATTCTTAGATCTGCATCTACTACAGAATCACTAAAGTGATCCAGTATGGGCCATAGAGTCACTGCAGCCTTTTCCTCCACAAATTAGTAATCTAAAATAGGTTGCCAGTGAAGAATACATGAATTAAGATAAAACCAGTTGACAGAATGGATGCCTGCAAATGAATATGGTTTAGAAGCTTGGGCTGTTTTTTTCTGCTCTAAGTTGAATAAAAGTAAATGTGTGTCATCAAAAACAGAGATTCAGTGCAATGGCAACTTTTGTTGAAAGATCCTAGAGCAACCGCATTTAAAATTTACAAATGGTGACCCCCAACCCCATACAACAAACGCAATGCCATTTAATGACATAACCCCAATACGTCACCTGTAATAAAATTTAACGTCAGTCTTCTTGGTGAAACAGCCCGTGGGTATCTCTTGCTAATATCATCATAGATTTTAAGTCGTTCTTCAACAGTATCTACAATAAAAAAAAAATAGTTATCTTGTGAAATGCCTAAAGCTAGAGAAAACTTTTTTTTAAAGACACATGCTCTAATGCAATTAAATAAAATAAAAAAATATTGTTTGATTTTCCCAGATTCAAGAATCTATTTAGCAAGCTGCTAACTAACCTGAGGGTAAACCTCCTAAAACTGTCAATCTGAAGCATCTTTGCTTAGTGTCAATATTCCCTGTAAAATAATGAACTGGAATACTTGCGGATTATGACAAATAAGCATTCTGAATGTGTGTTACATTCCTCTCCACCCTGAGTACATAGATGAACACAAACCATGCCTAAAGATATATCTGTGAGAACAGAAATATGGAAGCCAATAAGTTCTTACAAGTTGCAGCCTCCAGGCCTGACATTCCTATTTTGGCTTTACTAACGAATGAATCAATGACCTGGAATAAGCATGCTGCCAGTGAAGACTAAGACGTCTAACTTTCACTTTCCTGCATGCATGTACTAGGTCAGGGGTCTGCAACTTTTAAGACATAAAGAGCCACTTGGACCCGTTTCCGAAGGGAAAAAAAAGACTGGGAGCCGCAAAACCATTGCAACATTTAAAACAAATCCCAACGTCACCAGGCACTGTACTCGTGGCGAGGCGGAGCTGAACCACGTTGAGTAGCTACACCGTATAGTAATTCATCCCCCATATAGTAATTCATCCCCCATATAGTAATTCATCCCCCCTATAGTAATTCATCCCCCCTATAGTAATTCATTCCCCATATTGTCTCAATTCACTTACCTTTGCTCCGCGCGTTCCTCTCGCTGTGTTCCCGCGCTGTGTTCCAGTCTTCAGGGCGGACTGTGAGAGGAGAGGAGTTCGTCACGCTGCCCCGCCTACATCCTGGCTGCCCCGCCTACATCCTGACAGCTAATGTTCCACGCTCCGCGGCCGCCGGATTAAAAGAGTCCTGACTTTTGAGGCGGCCGCCCGAGAGGAGGGAGGGGAGCGGGCGCCCGGCACACAGAAGAGCCGCATGTGGCTTGCGATCCGCGGCTTGCCGACCACTGAAACCCTATTGCCTGTCACCTGGTGGGCAGTGTGCTCCGGAGCCGCAGCAAAGATGAAAAAGAGCCGCATGCGGCTCTGGAGCCGCGGGTTGCCGACACCCGTACTAGGTCAATAACTTACTAAGCCAGGATCAGGTGCATACTTGTCCCTACCACCAAAAAAAAAAAAAAGTCAATGGTGGCTCTTTTCATTTTCATCCTAATGTCAAAGGACACCTGTTAGGAGTAACGTTTCTGAATCCGATCAGAAGTATATGTAAATTCACAGGTACAATTTTTTCTATTTACTACTATGCTGTGGCCGCAGCTTTTGGAATTGCTTAAAGCGTAAATTTACCCATAACAACTTGATAAAATATGACGCTCCTCAGAAAGGAACATACATTTCACATTAATAATTATTCTACCAAAATTAGTGTGTGCTGAAAATTGCCTCCAGCATTGTTCCTGTTTCTTCTTGCTGAAGGCCACCATTTTGTTGGAGCCCTTGGAGCGCAGAGCAGTCATTTCCTTACTGAGAAATATCCCCCTCTACATAGTCTCAAAACGTATATATGTCACTTTCTGCAATTAAAATAAGTACATTTCCAGTCTTGATTGTGTCTTGGCTCAGCTAATGGGGAAGGCTGTAGTAGCTGACAGTGGTCAGGTTCACAAGATGCATGTAGAAGTGAAAGAATATCAGGTAGATAAGACAATATTATTGTAAGTTTAACTCTTGTGTCTGGCAACAGAGTTTGTCCTCTCATCATTCCTGCTTTTCTTTTTTCCCCTCCCTAATCTGTTCTTTATCAGTCTGTGTCATTCCTGTTGCTTCAGCCTCCCTTAGCAGCAGTAAATATTTAAGCTGGCCATACATTATACAATTCTCCTTTAGATTTATCTTCAACTATGTAGTGCAAGGGCCTGCTTGATTGCATACAAATTGAAAGTGTCTAGGTTTGACCTCATATTATATGGTTTTGGAAAAATTGCACAAGAAAAGTGTATAAATGTGTGGCCAGCCTTAGGCTGTCAGTAGATTGGCCTCTAGTGACTCACTATCAGCACTGTGCCAAGAATATAGGACAACTGAGGTTGTTTAAAGCAGGGTGAGACAGTGCATTACTGGATTTTAAAATTGTATAGACACTTATTTTTAATGCTTTACATTGCTATACAAGCAAAAAGGGCCGGCATGAAGTGATTTATGGGAATATAATTTACAGATTAAAATTAGTTTTAACAACTCCTATAACGCTGTGTTCCTGAAGTACATCGTCTTAATCCAAAAAGATTTTTTTTTTTTTTTACAATGCATTGTATATAAACACAAGAATGGATACTTTATTTTAGGAAAATATATTTTGATAGTTAACCCATAGCAACTTTTATCATTTTCAATATCCCCATTGTTTAAAGAGTTGTGTGGTTTACCAGGTTTCAATGCTTTCTCCAGATTTTCATAGTATTTCCAGTTTTCAGGATTACGGTCAATAAGTTCTCTGTAGACTTCTGCAGCTTCTTTTAATCTTCCTAGATTTAGCAATACTTCACCTTTAAAATAATAAAAAAAAAAACACAATTCAAGCATAGTACATGATTCCAAGAATATTAAATAAATCTGTATGTATATATAGTGCATTCATTCATAAAGTATTCACCCCCTTCACTTTTTTCAATTTTATTTCTACAGTTGTTTAAATTGATTTTTTTCTCATTAATCTACATTCAGTACCCCATAAAGACAAAGTGAAAACAGAACTTTAGAACTGTTTTATGAAAAAGGAAAAACAGAAATATCACTTTGGCATTGTTTGGTTTTATTCTGTATTATTATCACGGGTAGTAGAGTGGGTATATAATGCACGAAGGAAAAGTGGGGTAAAAATGGAAAGTACACCGAGACACAGATAAAATTATTTGGATTCCACAACCGTTTCGGATGTTGTCTGAAAATACAAGCACTGTAACATCGAATGTACTTCGTGTATGGGACGTAATTCATAAGCAAATGGGTTGGGAGTAGAATTCACCGTTAGTACCACTGGTGGGAACAAACTTTTTCCCACCAGAAAAAGATGATATATCAGGAAAATGGATAAAAGATAGAATACACAACTAAAAGATATTATGAATAAGAAGGAAATATGTTATTTTCAAGAATTGAAACATACAAAGGAGTTATTCTATGTATTAGATGAGTGGTGATATTTTAAATTAAGACACTTTGTGGTGGTACTTCCACAACCAGTAAGAGCAGTAGAGGATCTGTATCGACTTGAACAGATGCTGAGTTCGGGTGTTATACAGAAACATGGTACCTCTTGTATATATAAGGTACTTACTAAAATATCTGGACCTATCTCTCCACCGTTTTTAGAGAAATGGGAAAAGGAACTTGGAATACAATTAAATGAACAGCAAAAAAGGAAAATATTTACTTTAGCACATGGGGCGGAGGACATGAATGCAGTTGAAATGAATTACAAATGTTTAGCAAGATGGTATATTACACCTAGCGTGGCACACAAGCAACAGAGAACTCACTATTATGTTGGAGAGGGTGTGGGATAAAAGGAACTATGGCACATATATAGTGGGAATGCCCTAGGATACAAGAGTTTGGCAGGAAATAATACAAAAAATACAAGAGATCTCGGGAATTAATATTCTAAAAAGCCCCGTGGGTTTGTTTATTCCATAATACTGAGTTTACAGTGAAACAATATAAAAATATGATAATATGCCATTTATTAAATGCAGCAAAAAGGATTGATCCCAAAGTTTTGGCAGGTCTGGGAGATCCCTAAAGTAAAGGATTGGATATATAGGGTAGAACATATTTATTTATAGGATGGAGGAATTACAGTATTTATTGGCGTATAAGACTACTTTTTATACTTAAAAATATACCCCAAAAATTTGGGGGTCGTCTTATACACGGGGTATAAAATGTGAACCTTGAGTTTGTTTGGGTCAAGCTGGCTGGATGTGTGGTAATACTGTACAGACAGTATACCGTGCTGAGCCAAGCTGGCTCAAAACAAATGTCCATATGACAGATTAATCTGTCAGCCCGCTGGATGTGTGGTATATACAGTATACTGAGCCAAGCTGTTTCAAAACGTACCGGTACGTCCCTACTGTAATCAGCCTGCTGGATGTGTGTATGTACGGTAGCTGCGGCTACATACAGTATACACTGGGCCAATCACGGCGAGTGATGTATTCTACTAATGAATACAAAGCCTGCTCGGATTGGCTGAGGTTGTGACATCATCAGCCCACCTCTCTGACTGAGCCAATCCGAGCAGGCTTTGTATTCATTAGTAAAATACATCGCTCGCCGCGATTGGCCCAGTGTATACTTTATGTAGCCGCAGCTACCGTATATACACACTCCAGCGGGCTGACAGATTAATCTGTCATAGGGACATTTGTTTTGAGCCAGCTTGGCTCAGGGCGGTATACTGTATGTACATTACTGCACATCCAGCGGGCTGTATCTATACTTTATGCTGTATGTAGCCGAAGCTACCGTATTACCGCACATCCAGCTGTAACTATCGGATCTGGAATTTGATCCATATGATGACTGTCTTACAAATGAATCACAAGATGTCATTCATTAACTTATGATGTCAGAGGATGAACATGAGGATTTTGAAGAATTTTAAGTACCAGTAAGTTATAACCATTTCAATTAATAAATCTGATGTTTTTAAATGGTGTTGCCTCGGAAGGGGGGTAGTCTTATACGGCGAGTATAGCCCAAAACCTATGTTTTAACTGGAAAAATAGGGGGCCGTCTTATACACCGGAAAATACGGTATATCATAGTGTAGAAGATAAAATGGGAATTGATTGAAAATATGGAGGAGATGGTGTGACTTCAAATCCTCAGAGATATGTAGAACTGATGGGTGTTTAAAGTACAGAGAAAGATACCTGGAGAGATGAGGGAACGATAGCTTAATTAAAAAGGAAAAGGACAAGGTGAGAGGAGAGGAGAGAAGGAAAATACAAGTAGCAACAGAAGAGCAGGAGGAGCAGAGAAAATAGAGGGTGAGGTTGGGGGTTGTGGGGGGGGGGGGGGGGGGTTTGAAAAATATGTAAAAATATGCATTGTAAACTGAGCTTTATGGAATGATATTCTGTGAGTTCTTCATTTTTATCTGTTTGTAAATGAAATTAAACAGCTTAACTGAGCTTGATTGGGTAAGTAGATGGAAGCCAATGAAAGTCTACGACCATCCAGATTTCCGTTAAGAAATACAACGGCTTTACTGGTCACATTTCTGATGAATGAGGGTCCAAGTAAAACTACCTAGAAAGCTGGATGCTCACCCCTCCCCCCTTTGTGTTCGAAGTGGACGCCGTACTGTGGTACCCCAATAGATAGTGAAAATTATAAAACTTAGGCATCTTGCCATATTGAAAGTGGGTCTCTTGATTGAACGCAACTTGTGCACTTGTGTGCCAGAGTACACACAGGACCATAGGGCATTTCTCAGGGATATTCAGTCCTTTGACATTCTGAGTTATACAGTGTATGGTAGACATAATGAGCATGGAACAATATGTCCGTTGCACCGGCTGAGAGAGAAAGGAAAGAGAGGTAGACTACAGGAGAGGCAAAGAACAAGAGATAAATTGGGGAGAGGAGAAAAAAAAAAGAAAAAAAAAAAAGGGATACCACATTCAAAAACAGGACCCCTATTTACAGGAAACTACTACACTGGCTCCAAAATGAGCCTACCCACCCCTGTAAACCCCTCTGGCAGATCAGCCAAGAAGGGAAAACAGAGAGAGGCAAAAGCCTATGTCAGGGAAGCAGATTACAACTATGGATGTAGAGTCGCCCTAGACCACTAAATTATGCTATACACTGTAAATCGCAGGCACCGACATTTCAAGAGTGGAGAGGCAGGTATTAAAACAACCCCCTTGCAGCAACAAGGGGGAAGGGGTGAGAGGGGAGAGGGATGGGGACGTGTAATCACCACCCCACTATGAATCATGCGAGAGGCTCACAAATTGACTGCTTATCTCACGTAATATCTTTTTCAATCAATATTTATGATAAAAAAAAACAACTTTTTTTCAGAAATTGGTAAAGAAAAATAGGGAAATGTCCAAAATGTAAAAAAACATCAATGATCAAATCACAGATCTCATGCCAAAAAAGTACAAAAAAAAGTAAAATACATTTTTAATATTAAGAAGTGTATTTTTGTTTTTCATAGTGATAATTAGGGATAGGAGTCATGAGTAGGAGGAGTGTTTCAAGATTGCCTCCAAGGTCTAGGTTTGTTAATTTGTGTATGATACCTCTTACTTCATCCTTGAACCTCTGTAACAGCACAATCCCAGAAGATGTGAAGCATTGTGCAAGTAGTGCTAGCAGGTTGGGGGGTCACTCAATAACACAGTCAGATGGAGGGCATACTGTACCTTTTGTTAGCAAACTCGTTTTTTTTTTCTTGAGATTCAAGCTTTATGAGAAAAGAAAAGATTGTGTTCCCTCTTTTCGAAGGTAAAAGTCGTCCCAAGATTTCTTTCCTGGTGAAATAGTAGCTTAGAGTCTGAGGGAATGATCAACAAAGCGTAAGTGGCTGCCAAGGTGTGTCTAAGTGTTCCTGACTTTAAGCATAACTCCTCAAAAGCATGAGACCCCCCCCCTTGTCAAAGAGGTATGCTTCACAAGGGATGAGAGAAATAGTCTCAAATGGATTGCCTGTCATAGTTGAGGCTTGGGTTCCACTAAGATTTGGTTCTCCCTGCATTGGACTTTACTCCCCTTGAGATTAAAAAAAAAAATGAAATAGCTGTAACCTATCATATGTATGAAAAAGCTTTGTCATACAGGCCACTGGGAAAGCTAGAATTACTGATTACTGGGGTCATAATGGATAAGTGAGAGTGGCTAGGGACAAGACAACACAGACTATTATACATCAGTTACGCACACTTTGCAAAGGGTCTATAAATGCACTTCATGATCCGATCCCAGAAAATGGGCCATGGGACACCCTCCATTTAGCTTAAGTCAACTCTATGTTGTGGGGGGTACGTTGTGGGTTGGTGTAACATCTCTTGATACGCAGAAGAGCATGTAAAAGCCATCTAGGAGTACCAGGTATTGCAAAAGATTTCTTCCGTAATATACAGAAGCCATGAGGCTTTTTTGTCCCCAATATTATCAATTTTAGCTAACCACAGAGAAACTAGAGGGGGTAACTGGCTGATTCCACTGGGCCAGAATACACACCTTAGCAGACAGATAGATAAGAGCGCAAATCCAATGTTCCCAAACAGTGCTAATTGTGGCTTAAAGAGGAACTTCACATCCCCTCCCCTCACCCCTGGGATTAATTTAGCTTTTAAAAGAAGTATGGCCATTGCTCTTTTGGCCATACTTCTCCTGTGGGTCACAGGAATGCACTTAGCTCTGCATGCCTGTAACTCAGATTCAGAGAGCCGGTCCAGGCTCTGCAGGGATCCCGACAATAATGTTGGGATCTGCCCAGATGACTGACCAGCAGCTGGCTCAGCCTCTGAACACGCCTCCTGCACAGCACGGCACTCTAGTGAGCACTGGAGGGGCAAAGGAGAAAGTGGTGACTGACAGTCACTGCTTTCTGCTCAGTGAAGACCAAAAACAGAGCAATCAGCAGTTGTGACCACTTCGTTCTCGGTCTTAAAGCCAATGGGGGGCAGATGCAGCACTAGATTCATGCGGTATCAAAACTTGGTGGGTTTGTGTGTTTGTTATTTTTAAATCTCATACTTCTCTTTTAAACCATCACTGGGTTATGCTCAAATAACACACTCAAACTCAGTGAATCCAACATTGTCCTCCTGTGACTCACTGACGCTCACTGGGTCCAGCACTGCTTTTTTCTTTCCTTACATCATTGCAAGCAAGCTGTTTTCTGGATTCTTGCAGCTGACTCCCTGGTGATGTGCTGCCAGGTCTGCTCTCCTCCAGCCACTCTCTGTAAGCTGTTGTCTCCTGGGATATCTGAATTGAATGTCTCAGGAGGCTGCTAGAGAAGAGTACACATCATTCTTGCCAGTGGCAGCTGGAAGACTTCATCTACTGTCTCCCTTCCATCAAATGGCCTGGGCTGCAAGAGAAATCAGGCACAAGTCTATCATGTATTGCAAGCAGGGACCTAACTACTGCTGCAGATCTGTATATTTACAGCAGCTTCTAAAAAAATAATTCTCATTGAACGAGCAGAGAGTACTGTGTGTTCCATGCAAGTTCATACATTGTTAAGGTAGCCTGGTTGCAATACTGCGAATGTGCGGATTTTGAATGACATCGGGAATGATGGAAGAAAAGAACAAGGACTACAAAGATGGTGCTGTCTTCTGCCACACCGGGCTTGCTGCAGCCTGTTTAATTTTGGCTTCAATTTTATATTCAAATACATTTTTACTATTGATAACATCAAGTAATGATTGATGGTGAGCTGTTTTAAACACCACCTAATGGTCACATTGAATATCACAGCACCTCAAGCCAGACATGGCCATTTCCCAAATGTAAAAATGACCTGTGTACACAAGCACAAAGCCACAAAGTTATATCCACAGCACTGACATTGGCATGTCCAGGGCACAGTGCACTCTCTTAAACAGTGAAGAAGCAAGTGCTGAAGAACATAAAGAGAATGGCAAAGACTTTAATGCTGGAATAATAAGATTTAGTAGATAATGAATTCTTGAAGAACTATGTAAAAATGTGTTCTCTGCCGAAACGGTCAAGACCACATGTGAGGTGCCTATAATCTCCTATCATGAACAGGACAAGAATATTAGCAATTTACCTTTAATCTCCTCTACCAGAAGCTTGTCACATATTTGCTTCTCATAGGCTTCAATGTGATCCAGGGACTCTTGAAAGAGGTTGGCTTCCCTCATTACTTGATTCTGGTAGAGGATTAGCTCACTATATTCATAGTCAATCTTATTTGGAGGTACCTGCAAGCACATGGCAATAATATAACTGGCCTGGCAATAAAATGCACTAAATAAGTACTGTATATGTTCTGTAAATGTACTTAATAAAATGTGTAAAATTACATTTTTGCAAACCAGACACTGCCTTTGTGACCATCAGTCTTCTTCAGTATGTGAACAGTGTTTTTTTTTTTTTTTTTTTTTTTTAACCATAAGGCCCCTTTCACACGAGCAGACTGACTGAGTCTGCCTGTTAGTTTTTCAGGCAGACGCAATCAGACCCTCTATTGTCCTCTATGGAGAGGTGGGTGTAAACGAACATGTGTCCATTTACACCTGCCTACATCCAATCCGATAAGAACAGACGCTTCCTTTCTGTCTAACAGATCGGATGGCAGTCAGGTGTAAATGGACAGGCAATCTGTTTACATCGAACGGCCCATTGAGGAGAGCGGGCTGTGTCTGTGTCCGCTCTGCATATCAGAGGACAGATCCCCCACTCAGCAAGCGGACTCCTGGCAGAGTCCACCAAGTTTGGAAGGGGCCTAAAGAAGTGATATACATAAACGTTAGCCCTATTTGAAAAGCAGAACTAATTTATTTAGTCAATAAATGTTAGAATTAACCCTATAAAATCCACATTAAAGTAATACAGCTGTTGCCATCTAGCGCCCTTACTAGTCTACAGAAAAATCATTCTGCAAGCCTACTGGAAGATGATTTCCCCTAGATTGTTAGAGAATTCAGACAGCACCAACTGAAAAAACAGAATAAAGGCTGTATTCACATCTACCCAAGTGCGTTGTTAAGTGTATTTGTAAACATTATTAACAAACAAAAATGTTTAAATGATTGTATTTAAGGATTACACCACAATACTATTCTGCCAATGTTCTTCTTTAAAGATTTACTGGAAAATAATAACCATTAATACATGAAAAACACATCCTCATTGCCAGCAAATACAGTAAGCAGATACCTAGAGATGCCTGCAGGTAGTTTCAAATATCGTGTAAAGTTCTTCCAAAATCCCAGGTACTCCATTATTCTAACAACTAATAAGTCAGAGCTGTGACCTGCCCTCTCCCTTATTATTGACCCATCTGTGTGACAGACAGAAAGTAGACAGCAGGAGGGAGCTGGTTGGAGCTCGGACTTCAGGAACAAATGTATGTAGTTTCATAAAAACACAACCAGGGCACACTGTAAAGTATGTAAGACAACTTACAACCAATTGTAGGTGCCAGCCATCTATGAATGCTGCCGTTTTATTAATTTTAAAGTGAAAATTTGGCTTTAATAAAAATGCCCTGATGGTAGAAAATCCAACAGCCTGTCTAAAATAGCACTGTACCTGCTGAGTTTTCCTGAATTCCTCAAGCAATTTTAAGGCCATTTCGTAGTCTTTCAATAAATGATATGCTATGGCATAGCCAATCCATGATGCCCTCTGCATTGGTCGCAACTGAAGGAGTTGATATCTGGTTTCCTGTTACAAAAAACAAACAAACATAAAACATTATTATAACAAAATGTCAATATCAATAACTTGTCCACGTTCCCCAATGTAGTTATTGCTAAAGGATATATTTTGTCAAAACATAATATAAAGGATTTTTTAGTTTTGGATAGAGTGGAAGGGGGATTAGAACATGGCCATATATGGATCAAAATTGTCCTTGCTGAAATGGAAGAATTTCAATCCATGTATGAGCAGGCTTGGTTGTACACAAGTCAATCAATCAATCTTGACTTTTGTATAATCAGTCTGTTTGCTTTTTCCAAATGATCAGTGCTGACAGCTAAAGCCAGCAACATTAATCATTATATTCTGGTGATAGGGAATGCTCCCCGCTGTCAGATTACTATACCACTGCAAGAGGAATTCCCCTATCCACATAGAATCGAGGCAGTGTCTTTTGTTCAACCTAATGGTTGAACGAAAAATAAAATGCATAGTGTACGAGCTGCCTAACTTACTTATTCTTCATGGAAAACTATTTTTGTATTTGGATGAAGATTTGTTTTAATAGACTGCACATCAATGCAACATGATAATTTTGACTGTTTTCTAGCCAACTAAAATTCAATGTGTCATAACCTAGGCAATTCAAAATGATCTTGTGCTGAGCAAAAAAAATTATAAGCAGTTGCTACCTTCAGTTAAAATTGTATATCAGAATGACTGGGGGAATAGATGTTGACTTAGTTTGGGACAATTATCCCCATAAGTCAGTTAGGTTTCCCGTTGGATTGAAGGGACCAACAGGGAGACTACACAAATAGAAGAGGACACAATGAAACACCATCTTTACCAAATAAATTATGGTATGTATCAGGGTGGATTTGATTTAAATCAAACTGATTTAAATCACGATTTAAATCACTAGTTAGTAAGGCTTGATTTAAATCATAGTTTTCTACATAAAGACTAATTCTTGCTGGTATAACTTTAATATGCAAGTAGATGAAGATTTTTAGAATAACAACTTTTCATATTAGTTTTTTTATCCCCAGTTTAATATATTTGGACAACTTTTCTGTTGTATTTAGGAAGGAGAAAAATAATCATTACCTTAATAATAACAATTTAAATAGATTTATTCAACTGAAACAATAACATTACATCATATGTTATTTGCTTAAACAAATATGCATGTTTGTTAACTAATTTGGCTAAACAAAATATATATATTTTAAGAAACTTAGACTGTCAGCCCCTTCCTCCTCACACTTAGTTTCACTTTCTTCTTGTGCAGATCTATTCCACTCCAAACAATCAGAAAAATATTGTTTCTATTCTATTCACTGAACTTCTTGAAACTTAGCACTGAAGGGGTTGATTCTGTATTCATAGGTTTTGTAGAAGTTAGGATTAAGGTCTTTTTCTTAACTCTGTTCATGTTATAACATTTTTGCTGTGAAGAAGAGGCATGTGATCTCCGCTGAGTCAAATTCAGTTTTGAGAACTGCAAAAGTAAACCAAGCATCTGTGATAATATCTTGTAGGCAGAGAAACTGCCCAATAATCTTACAAAGACCTCTGGAAGAGGATGACATTGTGAATGGATTAATGGAATTTATTTACCAAACAAATTAAACATATACAGCCTTATTCTACATAATTAAAAAACTAATCTTTATTTCATGATGGAATAACCTTTGGATGGTAATATATTTTCCTCAAAAAGCATTTTATTTAAAAAAATCCGATTTAAATCACAAAAATCCGAATTAAATCGCAAAAATCCGATTTAAATAAAAAAAAATCTGATTTAAATAAAAAAAAATCATTGATTTTTATCCACCCTGGTATGTATATAACTTCAGTATTTTTACATCCAAGGCTCAACTGTTTTTAATCAATTTTTAGATCCAGGGCTCAACAATTTTTGATCATTTTCAGATCCAGGGCTCAACTGTTTTTGATCTAATTTTGATCTATTTTAGTTGCACAGCCAAGTGTTCATTTCACAGAGGATTGTGAATAAGAAGTAAGTATACCTTATAACAAAAGTTGCATGTCTCTTCTGCAATAAAATGCCTGCCAGGTTGAATTTTTTTTTTATACATTTAGTTCCACTTTAAGATAAACTCTACTTAAGGTACATTATTTCATCACATGCTGAGTTTGAATTGCCTAGGTTTGTGACAGGTTTACTTTAAAGAAGTATATCTTATTTAAAACTGAAGCATCTTGCCAACTGATATGCAGCCAAACTTCAAGTATTTTAATATTTTCCATCAGCAAATACCCAGGCTGTATGGTGTCAGTCCAGGATTTACATCCTGTGGCACAAATTATTATTTTGAGACATGTAACATACTCAAGGAGGAAGACGGGAGACTGGGGTGAAGGTCATCCTAGCTCAAGGTGAGTAATAGACCGCCCAACATCAACCTCAATTTCCTGTTTTTCCCCTCATAATGTTCTATCCACCTCCACTCATTTTATCAGGAGTATTGGAGAATGTAAATACTACACCAGTCCATATTTGAAGAAGGGATTTTGCAGAAAGAAGCCCTTAGTCTATATTTATAGTCTAGGAACAAATCATCATTGGGATTTTTCAATTTAAAATTTTCACACATTCTTAAATGCCCTTCTGTAAATGCTCTGGGGATCTATTTAGAAGTTTGGTTCTGGATGTAAAACAACAGCTGTATAACCAGTTAAATTAAAATCATCATATAAGAGAAAATATTAGCATTCCACATTTCCATTTTGTAGTTCCATAAATTGAGAAAAATAAATGCAGACATGCATACCCGATACCCTTCCAAGTCTCTCATCTGTATCTGCAATAATGAGAGGTCTCGGAGTATCTGTAAATTGTCCTTGTCCAGCTTAAGTGCATTTCTATAACACTTGATTGCTTCATCATACTTCTTGTCAGACCGCTGTAGAAGGCCATACACATGCCAACCTGTCTAATGTTGAGGAAAATAGATAAACAACCATTGCACATCATTCACTTAAAAGTGAAGTCATGAATCACCTAGAGCCATTTTTATTGCGTAGGCCAGGAACAAGCCTGTATAGCTTGACCCTAGTAATTATAGCAATCTAACTGAAAAGTATAAAAGGCCAAGCATACATTTACCTGTAAATTATTTATCTGCATATCTGAACAGTACTACTAGTACATAAGGATGAATATATCGATGATAGAAAAAAAATGTAACACTTTAGATATCAACGTTTCAAAAAGAGTGCCATTGGGGTAGTTCCTCAGTTACTATAAAACACAGGGTCACTCCTACTGGAGATAGATACCAACGTTTCACAAAGAGTGCCATTAGGGTAGTTCTTCAGTTATTCTAAACACAGGGTCACTCCTACTGGAGACTTGGTTCACTGGAAACTTAAACAACTCTGGGGTCATTAAGTTACTTACAGAAACAGGAGGGCCCACTAGGACGACAAGATAGGTGGGCGGTAGTGGGAGAAAGTCTGTGGCGGATGGGTATGAGCCACTCAATAACCAAACAGGATAGTCTAATTGTTGAGTAAAGATGGTCAGTAGTGAGTGATGAAAGTCTCTGCTAAATATTGCTTAAAACAAGAGGTCCAGACCTATTCAAACTTAGGTAATTTGTCAATAATTCAAGGAGGTACCATGCCATTTTACTTTTCACCTGTGAGGTGGAGGACCACCAAGATTTGGCTTTCACCTTCGTAAAAATTAAGGAGGTGAAACTGGGTGTTTGTACTGTGCCCTGGTATCAAACTTAGTAGAGCCTCTTTAGTATTTTTCAGAATACCTCTCCTCAAAATGGTGTGGAGCATCTGGTATACCCTGCTCCAAAACCACTTAATGAGAGGACAAATCCATCACATGTGAAAAAGGGTACCCTGAGTTTGGTAGCATGATCTTGACACTGATGGAGTGAAATTTGCCAGGCTTTAAGGTACCAAATATCAGCGCATAAGTAATTTTACAATTGGATTCTATAGCCGAGGCATGTATGGAACTGGTACACCAGATTTGCCCCAGTCCTCTTGATCTGTGATCTCACCAAGGTTCTTTCCCAGCGTTCCCCATATTGTAGGGGCTTGAGAGCCTAGCCATCCACCACAGTATTATAGACTGTCGATATAATAACCTCCAGTAGTCTGTAGCGAGGATGACATCTTGATAGAAGATGTAACAATACTGTTGATTTGTAACTACCGAGAGGTCTACAAGGTTGGGGCCTCATAACAGCTGTTTAGTGAGAAGCTAAGGGTCACCTCAAGTGATAGTAAAGACCCTGCACAATTCCATAGAGAATTATCATCAGAAACAAGTTGGTTCAATAAATCTGGGAGGAAACATGGGATTTCCAGATTATAGAAACTAATGGTGCATAGGGAGACATCAATAGTATGTATTTCACACTGTCCTATATATGTAACAAATGGCACAGGATTGCCACAAAAGTGAGACAGGATCAGGTCCCACAGCCTCCAAGGAAACCCAGAGTGAATTTCCAGTCCCCAGATGATAGGCTGGTAATTGGGAAATTTGAGCCATGGCATTATAGTTGGGAAACCAACAAGCCACCCTGATGACTAGGTTGATTCAAGATTTGCTGTCTTATGCTAGGCCAGGAGTTACTCCAGATAAAAAAGGAGTTGTCTCTGAAGAATGTGCAGGATGCTTGACAGAATATTATTAGGGAAACTGGTACAATTTAGGTGAAACGGTCATTCTGACCACTGCAATGTGGCTTAGCAATGAAACCCAAGGTATTTTTCCACGATTCCATTAGCTGCTTGTTTTGTAACAGCAGGATAATTTACATCTGTCCACTAACATTCAGGAGTTTGCATTGTGGCACAAAACTGGGTGCATTATTAAACATGCAGTTTTTAATAGTATGAATTGCAACTGTAATGATTAGGAATGACTAGTATTTGCCATGGATATGAAAATGTCCCTTAAAAAAAAAACTCTACGCAAAAGGATACAGACATGACTTTTAACATCATTGCGTAGTCCTTTTCGCACAAACTCATAGGCTTCATCTTTCTTTCCCAGGCAGTTCAGTGTCAGTCCTTTCATTGCCAATGTTTCTGTAAGAAATGAACATAGCTACTATTTAGATACTAGATCATTTATTAACAACACCAACTGATCCTAGATTAGGTTTTATTAGGCTAGCTACACAGAGATTGTACCCAACTGCATGTTTTAGATTACAGTATTTATATATAAAACAAAAAAAAAAAACGGGAAACAAACTATTTGAAAGAAATCTACAAAAAAGATTATCAAGTTCTATAACTGCTTATTTGATCAAATACAGAATGCTATCAATAAAATAAAAAATATATATATATATCACCGATCTGGGTGATTATCTACCTTTTAATGTTAGAGACTGCTCTTTGCTTCACCATATTCATTCCAGAGGGATGAAGAAAGCTGCGGTGTCTGCATCTCTTCAGAAGCAGTCAACCCTTAGGGAGTATCTCATCAAATATTACATTTCTATTGCAGAAGTTCCACGTTACTAAACGTAAGAACCACTCAGAACAGTGTAGTCACTGCATATTTCAGCTTCTCCATGATTTTAACAGGGCTGCTAGTAGTGGGTGGTAAGCTGTACCTCCCAGGGACCAGAATATGCAAGGTCTTTATACCGTGCATGAGCCTTAATAAAGGTAGTGTTATTTCTCAGAAAATATTTTTTCAGTCACATGTGTACTTGTACATGTAGTGATATCGTAAATATAAATATCATGAATAAAATTGTACCTTGGTACAATATCTTACCTCCATGTTCTGCAAATTTTGGGTTGGACAAGATCATCTTACAAAATTTAAGCCCATTTTTATACTGCTTTTGTTCATAGCATTTCTACAAGAAAAAAAAAAAAAGAAAAAAAAATACTTTTGTTATCACATGCAGATAAATAATAATATAAAAAATTAAAATTGGACACATTGCATGGAGATGTTTATCTGGTCCCTCATCACACCATGCTATATTGCCTCACTGACAGTTCTGGGAAGCCATATGCTATGGAACTGGGCGAGAGGTCTGAGGAGCTGTACACAGTAGTGTGTGTGTGTAAATGGAAGTTTAAGAAGTCTAATGAGACTTCTTCTTTAAAGATCAGCCAAAATGTTTCTTTTAAAGTTTTTGGTAAAAGAATGAAGGGTGTGGAGTGTTTATTGCAGTCTCCCCTCACTTCCTATCTATATGACAGCTTTCAGCACAAGAAGTGAGAGGAAACAGGTGTCAGAGAAAGAAGCGAGAGGAAATCTCACAAACAGCAACATAAACTTTGGTTGTTTTATGTAGAGAGGAAGAATTGGAATTTTATTTTACCTGTGCCCCCTTTGGGAAGGCCCACCTCACTTTCGGTCAAAGTGGCAGGTATCCAGATGCGAGGAAGGGGGGAATCTCAGTAAGCATTTTGAACTGAACAGACATTCCAAAACTAGCCATACACTGATAGATTTTCGAATGAACTTTCATTCAAAAAATCTCATCAGTACATTTAAAGGCTAAGTTCATCTTTTGGGAAAAAATAATTGCAAATATTTTTGCAGTAAAAAAATTTGCATTTATTATTTTCTCCCTCAGGATCCTGCAAAGCATTACACCCACAATCAGTGGAGGCAAGCCCTGCAGCTTTCAGCCCAAAGCTCTGATACAGGCTGACTGTTTAGAAGCTGCAGGGCTTGTGCATGAACTACAAGAGCGCTCATCATCACCCCCACAGTTCACTGAGAACTACAAGCCATCAGCCGCAATGGTAAGCTCTCTCATTCACAAACTGATGTGAATGGATAGCATGACTGTGGCGGTGGAACCCCGCATAGCCATGCTATTTTCAATATGTGACAGTAGGTGCGGGGAGAAGATCCCCGCCAGCTGTCAAAGGGAGGGGGGGGGGGAATCAGAGGGGTTCAGGTGGCAGGTCTTTAACATGGTACACGATACCATGTGGAACCCCGCATAGCCATGCTATTTTCAATATGTGACAGTAGGTGCGGGGAGAAGATCCCCGCCAGCTGTCAAAGGGATGGAGGGGAGGGGAACAGGGGGGTTCAGGTGCCAGGTCTTTAACATGGTACACGATACACCCAAATTATGGCTGTAATGTGTAACATGCTCTGAAAGATGAGCCTATTCTTTAATAATCCCACCAGAGCTTTGATAAATGCCAGTCTAAAGTACTTTCAAATTCAGTTTTCTTTGAACATTCAATTTTGCAATGAATTGAATTTCCTGACTGAAAACCACATTCACAGTTAGATTTTTTAAGAAAAGGTTTTCCATGCAGCTCGCTCTATTTTTTTTTCCTAGTAAATTACCCCTTATTACAAAATTAAATGAATGTTCCAAAGTGAGATTTTTTTGGAACACAATTCCACTGGTGTATGGTCAGTTTAACCTTTCTTCACTCTGTACAAAACATAGTTGACAACATTTTAAAATAAAGGTCACATTTCTGCACATTTAGAAAGCAGTAAATGTGACATTCACTGCAGGTGAACCGATCACTATAACCATTTGAGTGGCAGGTAGCATTTTAAAATGGCACAGGAAGAGCAACAGGGGCTATCTGTCCCAGTTTTACAACTGCACCTGGCTTTTTATATTAATATTAATATTTTTATATAAAAATCCACAGTCTGCAGTATCTCTCGAGCTCTGATAAAGAAAGGACCCCCTTGAATCACGTTAGATTTTGCAGACCTGTGCGGCATCTTCACAACATACAAGAAGCATGTATAATGGTTCTGACGGTTCTCCATTTGGCTACTTGTAATGAGCATGTTTTTTTTGTATTGGTGAGTATGATAACCTATTTTCCTTTTAATAAAAGGTGTTTAAAGAGAATGTTCTAGATCTTTTAGGAATGTACAAAATAACAATGAGGAAAACTGCACTGGTCAGCAAGTTAAAAGAATACAATGAGTGAGTGTGGTAATGTTATGCCATTAGCTCAGGAAAATTAATATTTGTAACAGTGTACTAGAGGGAGATCATTCTGTGAATGAAGACAAGCTAAGACCTTGTTAGCACATGCAGTGCACTCTGAAAAATGATTTGCTTTCGGATTGCTCTTCAGAGGGCTTTTGACAGGTGGTGAGGAGGTGTTATATTGCTTCCTCCCTGCCTGCTTTAACCCGGTTCCAGCAAACCGCATAAATTGCACAAGGTTGCAGGGCGCCCACATTCAGCTAAATGGGTTTTGTTCAGTATTGTTTGCCAAACATGACAGCAATGATAATTATTGCCATGCTGCAATGCAAAAACATGACAGCTCTGGCATACATACATCCCCCTCCGCTGCCTTTGGAATTACGAAGGGGCGGGGCAGTTAAAACACAGCTCAAGAACATGTTTTTGCTGCCCCCCAACAATAAGCATTAATAAAGCCTAGAATGTTTTCATAGTTTCACAATATTTCTGTGTGCCTTCATTTACAGAACAATCTTCCCCCTGTGCAGGTTTACTCTGTGATAAAAATGCACTAAGACAACGTAATAAGTTACATTAGATTTAGGTGCCAAATACCTCAAAACAAACTAGAACGCATTTGTTAAACTGGAAAACAAAAGGTGGAAGCACTGCATGCCGGGACCCAGCCACTATGCAGAAAGGTGGAGATACGGCCTCAGCCTAAGCACCTCCTGACTACACCCCTCTGATAGGTTTCACCCCACCTATGGGGCTTACACACAGAACATTCTCCAGGATTATAAAGCAGTGAATTTCACATTTGCCGCTTTATAAAGATATCTGTCAGGATTGTTTTACATCTGCACCAAGAAAAGAGAACTCAATCTAAATTTCACAGCAATGTAGACTTTATATTATGGTTCATCCAGTTTTGAAAGCCAGGGAGCATGTCCCAGTTATGCAAATTACCAGGGAGTCATTGCAATGGAAGCTATAGAGACAGAAAGCTGTGATCACCAGTACATACAGATCACTAGATTTAGGCTCCTGAGCAGTGAAGAGTGCACTCTGCAGATGGTGGACCAAAGCCTCCAAAAGGTACACAGAAGGTGGAGATCATCATAAGGCTAGGTTCACACTGCTGTAATCTGATTTTAAGTGTGATTATGTGGTGCAACTTGGATGTGGTCTGCATATTCTATAGGGCAGGGGTGTCCAAACTATGGCCCTCCAGGTGTTGCGAAACTAAAAGTCCCATGAGGCCTTGCAAGACTCCAACATCTACAGGCAAGACACCCACACATGATGGGACTTGTAGTACTTCAACAGCTGGATGGCCATAGTTTGGACACCCCTGCTATAGGGCCTTAATCATGCTGGAATCATGCCTAAGTAGTAAAGGAACCTTTTCCAAACTCACGCTGTGCTGAGTTGAATTGATGTGAACAGGCACCACTGAAAACAATATGATTTCCATTGTCATGTGATTCAAGTCACATCTGAAATCGCACTAATGTGAATGGAGCCTGACAGCCCACTGGGTATGGTTTGCTAAGCAGGGTATATACACCCTGTAGATTGGGGACCACTGTCAAGAGTAGGTGCAAATCAGTCTGTGATCAGCAGTACAGTTAGATCACTGGGTATGGGTCTCTGGGCAGATGTAATTTGTTGATGGGAGACCAATATAAGAAGATGGTACACAGCTAAGCAAACAAGGCTGGGATCAACAGGACATTCAGATCACTGGGTGCTGATCTATGGACAGGTAATACGCACCCTGCAGATGGAGGACTAGGATCAACAGAGGGTACACAGGAGGCTGTGATCAGCACTACATATAGATCACTGGTGTGGGTCTCTGGGTGGGTAATGTGCACTCTGTAGTGGGAAACAGTATAATAAGATGGTACACGACAATACAAAGAAGGCTGGGATCACCATGACAGACAGATCACTGGGTGTGAGTCTTTGGACAGATAATGTGCTGATGAAAGACCACAATCACCAGAAGGTACACAAAGGGCTTTGATCAGCGGTACAGTCAGATCACTGAGTATGGGTCTCTTGAAAGGGAATGTGCACCCTGCAGATGGTTGACCATTAAAAGAAGATGGTGCACAGCTATACAATAAAGGCTGAGATCAGGTACTAGGACATGTAGTTTTCACCTTGCAGGTGGGGGATCAGGATGATCAGAAGGTATACAGAAGGTGGAGATCACAGTGACAGTCAAATGACTGGGTGTGGGTCTATGGACAGATGATATGCACCTTGCAGTTGGAGGACCATAATCAGCATAGGACACACTGGAGGCTGTGATCAGCAGTACAGTCAGAGGACTGGGTATGGGTCTCTAGGAAGGGAATGTGCACCATGATAATGGGGGACCAGGATGATGAGAAGGTACCCAGAAGGCAGAGATCACAGTGACAGCCAGAACACTGGATGTGGGTCATCAGAAGGTACACGAGGGGCTGTAATCAGCAGTACAGTCAGATCACTGGGTAAGAGTCTCTAGGAAGGGAATATGCACCCTGCAGATGGAAGGCCAGTATAAAAAGATGGTGCACAGCCACACAATAAAGACTGAGTTAGGGTCTTAGGACAGGTAATGTACACCTTGCAGGTAGGGGATCAGGATGATCAGAAGATACACAGAAGGCTGAGAGCACAATGACTCGTGACTGGTTGTGGGTCTTTAGACAGGTAATATGCATCCTGCAGTTGGGGGACCATAACACTGTTCAACAGGTAAAAAGTTTTGGGCATAAAATTAGCTAATCTTACATAATTTTGGGGTGCTGAAAACGAAAATGACCCTAAAAAATGTTGATTGGCTCTAGTTTCCATGATATATTCACACATCTAATGACGTAAGCCATTCAAAATTATGATGCAACTTCAGCTGCATATTGCGCAATTGATACTGGTGACCAATAGAAAATTGCATGTATACTGAGATGATGCAATATTAGCCTTTAATTGCATCACTTCACTGCATAAAAGCTGCAGTATCTGTAGCTGATTGTAGTTCGACAGCGTCTTTACATTTCGTTTTATGCTTATATAGGCTACTCAGTAATGCCTCGAACTTGTGTGAATAAAGCAGATAATTTCTGCTATATCTGCGGTGAAATAACTTTTATCTCACAAAAAAGGAGGATAACAGGAATGATTAAGAAAGCCTACAACTTGTATTTTGGCTGCAAGATAGGAGACCAGGACAAGAGCTGGGCACCACATATATGCTGCAATTCTTGTGGGACGGCACTGGAGCAATGGTTGAATGGAAAAAAAGGCATCTATGCCTTTCGCTGTGCCAATGATTTGGAGAGAGCCAACAGATCATGTTAGTAATTGTTACTTTTGTATGGTGCCTCCAATTGTAAAAGGGCTAAATAAGAAGAAAAAGTTATCTGTGCACTATCCAAATATTCCATCGGCAATACGTCCAGTTCCTCATGGAGAGGGGCTACCAATTCCTAAAGCACCAGAATCCTTCGTGGTTGAGTCAAGTGAGGAAGAACCTGAAGCGTGTAGTCACGTGCAGTTGTAAGAGATAGCCCTTTCCTCGAATACAAGAGAAAAGCCAAGAGAAGCAAAACCGACACAAACTGAAGACAAAACTAGTGAGAATCCTAAGTATTAAAATGATTCAACTTAGCTTATGGCTATAATTTTTCTTGGTAATCCTATGCAATATATTATGCCATTTAGGCTTTGTTATGTAGTCAATATCACTTGCTTTATATTTGTGGAAAGACATCTATCTATATAATTATTGTGCATTATGTAGTCATTACGCCTATAGTAGAAAACTTTCCGTTTACAGAAAAACTAGAGCCAATTGACAAATTTCATTGTTATATTTGAACTCAGAATGTGAAATTCATTAAGAAATGGATCCTTTTGTTTCCAAAACTGGCAAAAAATAAAAATTTGATGAACAGCGTAATCAGCATAGGACACACTGGAGACTGTGATCAGAAGTACAGTCAGAGGACTGGGTGTGGGTTTCTAGGAAAGGAATGTGTACAATGTTGATGGGGGGCCAGGATGATTAGAAGGTACCCAGAAGGCTGAGATCACAGTGAGAGTCAGATAACTGGATGTGGGTCATCAGAAGGTACACAAATAGCTGTGATCAGCAGTACAGTCAGATGACTGGGTATGGGTCTCTAGGAAGGAAATGTGCACCATGATGATGGGGGGGGGTCAGGATGATTAGAAGGTACCCAGAAAGTTGAGATCACAGGGACAGTCAGATCACTGGATGTGGGTCATCAGAAGGTACACAAAGGGCTGCGATCAGCAGTACTGTCAGATGACTGGGTATGGGTCTCTAGGAAGGGAATGTGCTCCATGATGATGGAGGGGGGTCAGGATGATTAGAAGGTACCCAGAAGGCTGAGATCACAGGGACTGTCAGATCACTGGATGTGGGTCATCAGAAGGTACACAAAGGACTGTGATGAGCAGTATTGTCAGATGACTGGGTAAGGGTCTCTAGGAAGGGAATGTGCACCATGATGATGGGGGACCAGTATAAGATGGTGCACAGCTATACAAAGGTTGAGATGAGATCTTAGGACAGGTAAAGTACATCGTGCAGGTGGGGGATCAGGATGATCAGAAGGCTGAGATCACAATGACAGTCAGGTGACTGGTTGTGAGTCTCTGGACAGGAGATGTGCCCCGTGCTGATGATGGGGGACTAGAGTGATCAGAAGGCCAGGATCGTCAATCGAGGCAGCTCGCTGGGTGTGGATCTGTGGTCACTGTAATGTGCACCCTGATAATGGGGGACCAGTATCTGCACGAGGATGACAGCTCGTACTGAGTCATTATTAGAGTGTGTGCTCTGTGGCCCAGGAGACCAAGCTCTCACCAAGATCCTCTTGAAGAGGTTGTTCTCTTTTGGGGGGAGGGTGACACCCGGCATGATGTCTCCGTGTTCTGCCCGCCCCTCGCGGGGGTCCCGAGGAAGAAGCCACCTTTCTCGGAGGCCGCACTACAAGATGGGGACTGCGCCTGCGCACACGGCTCCTCGAGTCTTGTGTGGGAACGCACATTGATGATGTCATTTTCGCTTCCTGGCCCCTGGGTGGCTGTAGAACGGTGTAGATGTCTGTGGGGTGGTAATGTCATGTAATGTGTGAGAGGTATTCCATCCTGATGGTTCTATTTCGGGTGTGCGGTGGGAATTGCATGTACGAGGAGGTTTGGTGCTGATCCCTCTCCGTAGATTGGTGGTGCGCGGTGTGCATTCTGGGAGTTGTAGTTCGTTTGTCCTGACCTCAGTGTGTGCCGGCTGTAAGGTGAGTGTAGTCGGGGAACACAGGCAGAGGCCGACACCACACAGGAATTCTACCCTAGAGGATTGTAGCTGCACCTGTGTGCTAAGGCTCTGATTGAAGCAGCTCTTCATGCATACAAGTTCCAGGCAAGTGAATAGCCCCACGATTACTATGTGATATATAAGGCCCTATTAACAATATGACACCAGATGTTAAAAATCTGTTTTTTTTGTGTGTGTTGTCACTCTATGCTGACAGTGCTGCCCATTCATTTCATTTGGCTGTCCTACATGCCACAAATCCAGCAAAATAGTTCATGCACATTTAATAACGGCCCATCTGCTTGCCTTGCTTGGGGTACCATCAACAATAAATGGCCCCGCAAGTGCGGCTCGCGGTTTTTGTCCATTTTATGTACATGTGCAGAATGGCATGGCTGCGCACTTTCATGCGTTATAGTGTGCGTGTAGCTGAAGTCAGGGATCGAAGTCTGATGAAGTCAGGGACTGCTTCCTCTACTCCCTCTATATACAGGTATTTAGTCACAGCCTTATCCCCTTTAAACCTTTTTTTAAAGAGGAACTCCGGGTCAGGCAGAAAATGCAGACACTAAACCATTAATACAATCTAATCCTTATCATTGATGAGAAAAGCCTCACTGAGTTTTCATGACCTCATCTCTGTAATTCAAAAGATAACAGTATCTGCTCTGCCCAGGAGGAGGGGTAACAGCCGGGGTTACACCATATCCTTTCCTCTCGCTCTGCAGTAAAAGGAAACTACAGTTCCCATCAACCACAGGGAATTGTAGTGAATGTGGGCGGGTACACTATGCCTGTACATGTTGAATGTCCAACAGTCTCAGTCCGCCCACCACTGCAAGTGGGCCTGAATTACCTTACCTCACTGCTTCTTGGAGAAAGAACTACAGAGGGGATGTGCCAAGACCAGTGGCTAGAGGGATAGGAGCTATAGCAGCTTCTGGTCTTACACACAGGAAACCAAAGAGAATTAACAGTTTGATTTGAAAATGAATAGACTATTTCAGAGCAAGTACTGAGTGAACCAGAAGATGGATGAGATATTCAGTGAAGGTAGGAAATCGGCAACAAGGACATGTAAGGAGGTTTTCCCCCGGAGTTCTGCTTAAAAAGGGAGAAACATAGAGGCTACTATTGGTGATCTCTCCATCTGAAACCTCAGCTTTCATGTGGACCCCCTAATCTGCATACATTATTATTACTAGTAGGCAAGATTTATGTAGTACAATCAATTTGCACAGAAAAGGCAGACAGTACAGTTACAAAGTAATTCAACACAGGAGGAGTCGGGTGGCCCTGCTCATTAGAGCTTACAATCTAAAGCAGCACAGTGGCTAAATGGTTAACACTTCCGCCTGGCAGTACTAGGGTCGTTCAAATTCCAACCACGGCACCACCTGCCTGACGTTTGTATGTTCTCCCTGTGTGGGTGTTTACCTTTTATTCTTTGTGATTGTCATTTTATGAAGGGTAGTTTATAAGGAACATTCTATAGCGTTTGAGGTTATTTTCTGGCAGTTTTATTCTCACTCATTTTTGTACACCTACTCAGCCAGGTGTTTACTTTATTTTACATTGTTTATTAGCCACTTGCCCTCCTGAGGATGCGGTACTTTAACTGGCAATTGCGCGGTCATGCACCGCTGCACCCAAATGAAATTTATGAACATAAATCACCAGCGCCAAAAAATTAAAATAAAATAAAAAAATTAAATGCTGCTGTACATAAGTGTAACCTTACACCAAAAATTATAACATCATAAACAGCGCAAAATAATTTGTTATAGTGCTAAATCAATATATAAAAAATTAAATATTATTATAAACAAAAAATAAATATCAATATAAAATATAGTCCCACTCCAAAATTTGTGGAGAAAATATGACAAGTGAAAAAATAAAAATACAAAAATGAAGGAAAAAACTCCTTAAATATTCAGGAAGTCCTTATTCCAAAGAAGTGTGCTTCCATCAAAATTAGTGCTCAAACCAATATATACCGCACTCACCAGATTATGGTGAAATAAATGCATTTTAGGTATTTATGGGATCCTAGACCTTTATAATATGCCTCCAGAACTCCGCTCCTATTTCTCCTACATTAATTAATTACATTGAGTTTCTTTGGGAAGTGGAACCTGGTGGTGTTGGAAGTTGGAGGAAAGCTTTCCTGTGGTGGAGTGGAGCTCTGGAGGCATATTAGAAGGGTCTAGGATCCCATAAATACCTAAAAGGCGTTTATTTCACCATAATCTGGTGAGTGCGGTACAAATGAAATTTACTTCCTTTTTTTTCCCAAGAATTGAGCTTCCTTTCTGTGGTATTTGATCGCCTGTGCTTTTTTAATTTTTTGCTCTGAGAAAAAAACAATATTTTTGCCTTTTTGCTATTAAACACGTCCAGTAAAAAATTTTTTATCTAATTTTGTCATAAATTTACACCAAAATGTATTGTGCTACATGTCTTTGCTAGAAAAAAGTAAATTAATTGGTTTACTTGAAAGGTATAGTGTTTACAAATGGTGGTTTATATGCTGGAATTTTTTTTTCTTTTACTAGTAATGGCGGCTGTCACGATCGCACGGTCGCCGCCACCAACATGCGACAATCACACGACCGTGACTAACAGTAATACGTCACGCCCGTGGCGTCAGACCCCAGACCTTCTCACCAACTCGTGACCGAAGGATCGGCCGATCTAAAACCATGGTGTGACGCGCGTAGAAAATCCCCACGCAGCTGCACCCTGCACAGCGATTGTCCAGCTAATGGGCTACAATCGGTGCCTGCAGCCTGAATGCGCTTGTTACTGGGTCGGGTTAATTACGCAAATAACCCTCTACCTGCCACCACCACTTTTGTCGGAGACTGGGAAACTCCCATTATCAAATATACACTATAATGATTAAAAAGTCGCCTGTCCAATACGGTCACCGCAGGCCGATTGGGCAGAGGATTAAACAAACACAGTAGCGTCTCTTCAAAGGCAGGAATTCGTGAATTGCAAGAAAGCGCTCAGAAACAGTTTAACACTTTCAGAAAGAAGGATTTATTACTAAGAGTCAAACAGGTGCAATAAAATATTTACAAAGAAAATGTAACTATATATATATATATATATATATATATATATATATATATATATGCATATAAAGGTACAGCAAAGAGATAATAGGAAGGAAGTTAAAGGGTTAAGTTACTTGCCAATATGCCTTGGTTTGTAAGCAGATCCAAGTTTCTGCGCAGGAAGGGTCTTTGATCTCCTGTGTTACGATGTTAAGCTCAGGAGATGTGTGCAGCTCTAACTTCCAGGCTTGCAGCCTGTCCTTTTTAAAATCCCCCTGCAAGGGGGGGGGGGGGGGGTGGCTCTTAGTCTGCCCAATACAATATTTTGGGCAGGATGTCAGTGGACTCTCAATTAAAACTAACAGCTTCATACTCTATGATATGAAACATAGGTGACAGCTGACCTGAGGAATGTTCAATTAACTGCTGGTCAGTTTTATGAGGTTCCAACTTCTTTCAAGTCCGGGGAGAAGCTGCCTTATCTGTTTTATGTTGGGTGAGAAAGGTTACACTTTCGCAAACTGCTCGGTACCAAACTAGGGATGCCCTTACCTGTGTTGACCCCCCACCATCTGTCACTCGGGAAGGGAGGGGGTAGGGAGTGAATGATCGAGGAATACCTCAAATAAAATAAAAGGAAAAGGGGAACTCCACGTCCAACTCTGATGACCAAGTTTGCTACAGCAGTGATCAGCGACATATAGCAGGACTGTTGCAGGCATTCTGACACTGGAGGGAACTGACTTGGTGTCACTGACATCTCCAGTGACACCAATACAGTGATCAGTGCTAAAAAAAAGCACTGACACTGTACTAATGGCACTGGGCAGGAAGGGGTTAACTGTGTGCTAGGAGTGTTTTACTGGGGGGAGGTGTGTTGGTGCTTCACTGTAAGCACACCGCTCTGGATGGCTGCGCTGTGCACAGCCATCCAGAGCAATGTGCCCAAGGCAACAGGGAGGAAGACTGTTAGTAAACAAAGCAGCCCTCTTCCTCGTCACAGATCCTTGGTGATCACCAGGCGCCGGCAGGTAATTGCCAACCTGGACCCGGTGATTGACAGCCGCAGCCATGAATGGCGGCGTGTGTAGGGTGCACACGCAGGTCGCGTGTGCCCCCTACCCGGAGATACGAAACCACATATATATATATGTGATTTTGCGTACCCCTGCAGCCTTGTAGCAGTGTTTCTACCATAGGGCAGCGGCGAAGCCGTTAATAAGGGAGTAGTGCAGCATCTATTTTCATTTTTATTCTTTAGGCTTGTGGGAACACAATTAGGTGTCTGCAGCAACTCATTTCCTTTGGTTAGGTTGTGGCAGTGCAGGAGGATATATTGTATCTATTTCTAGAAGGATGTCAGTAGTGACTGTAATTTTTTCATGAGGATATATTGTATCTATTTCTAGAAGGATGTCAGTGGTGACTGTAATTTTCTCATAACAGTTACAGGTCATGATGTTAAAGGGACCCTGTCTGTCTCTAATCCTATCTGATGTCTTTTGCAGTAGAAGAGATATTATACTAACCTCTCTGACA